CTGTCTGTCAGGAGCAGTGGTTGCCGTAGTAACAGCGCCCGGGACCCATCTCCAGATGTTGATACTCGGCTTGGTCAGGACCAGAGCTGGAGGATTTGCCTATTGTACATGTTTTTAGTGGTAGGGCAAAACTGGAGGACATCTACTCAGGCACGGGGAGAACATGCAAATGCCACATAGAAAGGCCCTGTTTTGACTGGGATTCAAATTCAGGACTCAAGTACTGTCTACTCAGCCACCGTGCTTTACTCATACTCGTATTTGTCCCGCAAGTAATTACACAGCAACTTTACCTGAGTGAAAGTCAAAACTATGACAAGTATGACAATAGCTCTGGATTAATTTCCACATTAAGTGTTTTGAGGATTGTAAGGCAAGGTAAGTTTATTTGTACAGCACAGTTCATACAGAAGGCAACTCTATGTGCTGAACAAAACAAGAAATTAACAAAATCGTACAAGACGTTAAGTAATCACAGTGTGAAGTGTACGTTTATTTTGGCCAGGACACCCTTGTTTTTTTTCTTACATTTATTTCTGTTCTTGATTTTAGTAGTCCTCTAACTCTTAATTAGTTTCAGGGCTCACCTTTTTGAGAAAAAACACTGGTGCCTAAAGGGTTGAATATACAACAAATAACCCACATTTCTGCCAGTATAGTCGATTTTCCTGGATCGCCAGTATTAGTTTTGCCGCATTCCTGTACTCGAGTGTTCCTCAACTTAGGGTACATGCTCCGCTGGTGATACTTGTGCTTCAGATAGAACATTAATTAATCCGTGGTTTATTCATTCTTTTCATATTTTGTTTTCCCTTGAGCAGTGGACTCAGATAAGGGTTAGGGTTATTACATGTTTTACTCACTAATTGAATGCTATTATTTGTATGCATGCCTCAATCTTATCATAGCTATACTTTTACTATCATTCTTCTGTATTTATTGCACTAGTTATAAGGCTCAAAGAAAATTCGGTGTTTGTGAATTTTGTTCAATGGACAATGCCAAAGAAAAAGATAAACGTTTTGAGCTTCTTTTGGGTAGAACCTCGTAAACAACGAAACATTCTAGGCCTGTGTGAGACTCCGCACAGAAAGGCTCTGTCAGGAGTGATACCTCTGTTAACCACCGTGGAAGTTTTAACCACTGCACCACTGTGCTGAATGATAGCCGGTTTTGTTCACTCGTCGTTAGTGGTCATGTGAAGGCAGACTTCACACAACGACATCGTCATCATTTTTAAATTTTATTGCAAAATCTGTTAGATTTAATTACAAGCATACATCTTAAGGTAATGCTTATCATCCTGCACAGAAATATACAAAACACGTGCATTTTGTTGATATAATTTACAGTTATTACTGATGCTGTAACCTTTTATATGCATGGGTGTCACAATGATAAGTAATTGTAGCTCTACCAAACTACCAAAGCGATTAACCAATTATGACTAAAAGTATCTTGAGGAGGAGTAGCATTGAACACAGTAATCAGGTATAATTAAATGAAATAGATATAAATTGTGGTTAAAAGTGAAGGAAAGATCTGAAAAGTTGAGTTTTGGACAGGTTATGAGAACAGACTCCACTCACTGTGACCCCTGGACCAGCAGTGCCCCTGGACATTCATACAATCTATGGGGAAAAAGAGGGGGATACGGCCCAGGGAAAGACAAAGAAGCAGAAAGTAAAATTAAATCAGAAAAGTGGAGGAGGACGGCATGGGGAGAGTCGTAGGAGGGCGGAAGTGGTTGATTAAGGCTCTCCAGAGATTCTCTTGTTTAGATTGTTCTGCATTTCACTCTCTGCCTCCTTCTCGTCTTTGACATCTGAGGTGGATTACAGAAGGAGCATGGGTCACAGTTATGACTTAAACCAGGACCATATGGTGTCCACTGCACTCTGCTTTGGGATTTCCCGCCGGCCCCACTGTGACGCTCACATTTATTTTCTTGTTCATTGTCTCTCGCTGACATATCAAAGGAACAGTGTTTGTGGAACAGCGAGGGGGCTGCAGGTTATTTGCTTGGTCCCGGATGGGAGCTCTTAGCCCCAGCACCTCTCTACCTAACTGCAGCCTTACACACTGATTCATCCTCCCTTATCTGTAAGTAAGAAGATAAAACCACAGAAATGTTATGAGAACCATGTTCGGCCTGTTTTCTCTTGTTCAACACATGTTGTGGTCAAAGTTTTTATCAATTTGTGCTCATGTTGTAGAATTATATTTCATTTTGAGGCAGGAGCCAGAGCAACTTTATGGGAAAGAAGACGTTTTTGAAATAAATGTTGAATGAAAATATGTCCAAATGTTTTCCCAGATCATTATTGTATTATTGAGTGATTCAATTATCAAACCTGCCATATTATTCTTATGTCTGAACGTCCTACTGGCCAACATCAAAAGTACAGGAATATTGGCCACTTCTACACAACTTTATGAGAAAGTAATGAGACCATAGTTAACATGTACTGAAAATAGAACTTTGTGACAGGTTTTGTTTCTTGTGGATTGGTCCACGGAGTGACAGAGAAATGATCTGACGGTGTCTAGAAATCTTTTGACTGCACCATAGTTACTACAAGATTCTTTGGCATGTCGGGAAGTCACATGAACACGACCTATACAAACCCTAATACGGGAACAGCACAGTGGCAGCAGTGAATGTACAGTATGTTGTGCTCTTTTTCAAACACTATTCAATATTCAACTTGAGCTGCTTTCATTCAACCGTTAAATGTGATTGCCCAAACTGGTTCTACGGTTTCCAGCTGTTCCCAGTGCAGATACCTTCACTCAACATTAGCTGCCATCTGGAATTAATGTGAAGGCAGGACCCGCGTGGCACTCGCAGGTGAATAAACTTCAACAGCACTGCAGATTTTCAACCCAATATTAGCTTAAAATGGCGTAGTCGGAAAATAGACATGCTTATGACTTGTCCATAGTTCGCACAAACAGATGTCGTTAGAAAAAAAATCTGAAAGGCTTATTATTTGCTCTTTACCAAGTAGTTTGTTGAAAAACCAAATCTATGTTAGTGCCATACAAATACTCTTTCTTGAGCAAATTCCTTCAAATGTTCTGCCAGTCACAAAACTTAATGAAGATAGTAGCTATAGGACAAATTTCCGAGGTATCGGTTTTGCAAAGGTTTTAAACTAAACAGTGCTGTGTTTATAATTTATACATAAATACACTTTTCTTCTAATCAGACTAGATTCAGGCTTTTTTCCTCTATTTGTTTTGATTAGAAGAAAACGTTATATAGATATAGAAAAAGGACAAGGATTTTCTCAAAAAGGCAAAAACATGTAAAAAGTGTCAGTTGACTTTATTAGGATCAGATTCACTCAGTTGATGAAAAACAACTTTTGTCTTTGGAACGTTTACATGGAAGAAGAGAAGAATCTACAAAATAAATTGTTTTAAACAACAATATAAAAAGAATTCAATGGCATCAAAATACTTTAGAAAAAGAAAGAGACAAAATAGGGCTCAATTTTTAGGATGCAGGGCAGTTTTAACTTAAGCCCCTTTGTTCACAAAATCAAATAACAAAAGAGCTTGAACAAGAATCAATATTTACAGTGCATATATTTACATTAAGGCATTTTTTTCTAAGGAGAATGACATGGATTTGATGCACCCCACATCCATTACCAAATAAATAATTAGATTTATCATCAGACATTACAGTGCGAGATCATAATTATACTACCTGCAGCAAAGAAACATTTCAGTTTTAATGGGGGACAAACAACATAAGCCGTTTCATTTTGGCCCACACATACCCAATGCAAAGTCAGCGAACAGTCCGTGGAGTCCGCTCTTAAGAAATATCATGAAATGTCAACAAATTGTGCCCCGTTTTGGACAAATAATGTATAGCCACCATTTTACAGCACCAAGCTTTTTATTATTCCTCTCAAATCTGCTACTTCAACGGAAACACTGGAGGCACTTAACGTTTTTGATGCATGAGATGATACTTTGGTAAAAAAAAAAGAAAAGAAAAGACTAAATAGTAAACAAATATTTAGTCCTTTCTCTTTGTAATGAACTTGGGAGATACATTTCAAAATGGTTGGAGAAAGGCTTTCACATAATGCAATAATAATAAAAATCATCATAGCCATCTTTCCACACTTACAATTCGATTTACAGCAACAGCTACGCATCCCGCCAAATCCAATGCGATAGTAAGCCTCAAACAGACCTTCATTTTCATTGCTTGTGATTTCAGAATTTGTCCTGTATATGAATAGCCTGAAGTCTGCATGTCTGAGGGTTTTTACTAGCATTTCCCCTGCGTGAACATCTATCAAAAGACAAGCTAAATAATTGATCACTAATTGCTCTCTTCCTAACAACCATCGTTCTCCCTCCCGCGTCTCAGTCGTCCTCACATCCATCTACAACAATAGTCTTTCTCTCTCTGAGCTTTCTTCTCGGAGCTCTCCTCTATGGCTCGCTTCCCTGTCTCTCCGTCTCTCCTGAGTATCTACGCCTTCAATGTTTTAAACCTGAACAACAGCGATGCATGATTTGAGTGTTCGGGTGAAATCCTCTGGTATAGGAGAAATATGGGCATCAGCGAGGCCTGTGTGATTACAGATTTTAGTGCAAACCAAAAGGAAAATATAGACGTCTGAATTTTCCAGTTATAAAAAAGAAAAGAAAAAACTAGAGAAAAAAAAAGACGAACGCACCTGAAGGTAAACAAAGATTTGGTTTGGCTAGTTTGATAAAAGGTTATTTATATATATTTATATATAAAAATAAAAAAGCCTGATCCAAATTAAAATATACAAATTATGTAAGTGCTTTCATTCCAGTCATAAAAACAGTCTTTGAAGACATTTGGTTATGCGGTTTGCTTTGACTTTCTGATAGTACTGTAAAAGCAAATGCATCGACACATGAACAGCCTAGAGGTCAGTCTGGCCATTGTCATTGTTTCTAAACTTCAGTTTTGGATTAAGATGGACAGTAAGTGGACACTAGTTCTGGTGCCTCTTCATGTGGAGGGCCAGGTGGTCCGAGCGGGAGAAGGAGCGCGAGCACACGGCACACTGGAAGGGTTTGGCGCCCGTGTGCTTCCTGAAGTGCCTCGTGAGTTCGTCCGAGCGAGCGAACCTCCAGTCACAACTGTCCCATGTACACCGGTATGGCTTCTCACCTGCAAAGCAACACGCACAACAATGAGACGGTTGTCCTAAAATAACAGTTTGCTTTACAGTGGCATGTGTCTAATGACAGAGACGTGGTAAGTGAAACGTTTCTGCTGCCAATAAGCTGCAGATCATTAAGGCAATAACTCCCTAAGATAACAATGATTCATGCATTTGGGTGGAGGAACTGGGAAAACTGGCTTATCTGAAAGATCCAGTCTTGAAAGTGTCACAAGGCAGGCTCAGGCATTCAACTTGTGCACATAGAGCAGATCTGCTCCGAGGTTCCCAGGGACATAACTTGCCAATCATGTCATTCTTGTCTGAGATTAAACTTTTAAAAAGGTACTGTATTTCTAACCTAACTAGGATTCTTGGGTTCAAACGGATTTGGTCAACCAGTGCGTGAAGAAAGAATGCATTCTGCCTCAAAAAAATGCATTGCCATAGATTGCGTTGTCAATTGCTTGACTTTGTCAAAGACATTGAACAAGTACCAACTAAACACTGCAAATCTATATAAAATATAAGGTTGAATTCTTGAATCAATAGTTCTGGAAAAAAAAAAAAGAGAAAACAAGATGTTTGTCTAATCTTGAAGGTCATTATAGACGGTGAATGTATGAAAACACTGAACAGTAAATCCTATGTAGTAGTATTTTTATTTGAGCAGTTTTACAATACACAATAACATGCACAAATAATTCAAGAAAGACAAAAAAAGGCTCAAAAGGAGAAGGCAGAAGCAAAAAGCTTATATATACCTTCCCCGTTATCAATAAATTTATTTAAGCGGCTGCAAAAATATTTAAATTTTCACATGACATTCCTGATTTTTTCCATCATCATTTTTATCTTGTTGATGCAAACAAAAACAAAAAATCAACAATACTTTATCAATGTCATAAGAATTCGCATCAATATGAATTTGAAAAGGAGAAACAATAGAAGAAAAGATTTGTAATAGGAAAAGGTGAGGGTGAAGAATGAGAGAGAGGAGCGCTTATTCTTTACGACACACACACAGACACACACACACACACACAGAGTGGCACAGGCACACGCTCGCCGCACACAAATAATCAGGGTAATGGATGTTGATGGAGATTAGAGTGGGAACTCCCACCGGGCGCAAATGCATTAGGAATCATCTCACACAGATTACTGACAGGTGCGTGTGTGTGTGTGTGTGTGTGCCATGTGTGAACGTGTGTGCGCGTGAATGTGTGTGTGTGTGTGATTGCAACTGAGTGTGTGTGTGTTTGCAACTGAGCGGCTCTCTGTGTGGAAAGAGTATAGACAGGAGCGAACAAAGATGGGAAGAGTGTTGGTGAGGTGGGGGCGCACCACTCACAGAATAGATTCAACAATACAAGAGAACAAGCAGAGATTGATGCCCGTGCCGCTCACATCTCCTTACGTGTTGTAGGCTTGTCTTGTGGGCTATAATAACTGAAAAAACCACAATCAGCCCGCAGCATGAATGACGCCAGCTGTAATTGGCATGTCATGTTTTCAATAGATAGATGCGACGCACGCACACCCACAGCGCTTCCTCCAGAACACTCAAACACAGAAAATTGTTGACCAATAAGAAGGGCTCGATGGGACGTATGTGGAGATATCAGCACAGTTGTTGTTTCAGAGCAAGGGCCCATCAATTTTAAACAGGAAGAAATGGCATAGACCTGGATAGTGTCAAATTTGTGAGCGTGAAATATGGAAAGAATAGGAAAAGAATAGGAGAGATTTCAATATCAATGTGGAAAGTGTAATCTTCTGTCCCAGGAAATATGGCACCACATGTCTCAGTCACCAGCACATACCCAGAGAGTCATCCTCTGGCAGAAGTGTGTTACTTCCACCTGTTTTAATGGAATAGTATATTGGGCAGAGGATGGGAATGAGGTAGGATACATTTACACACACATGCCAAGAACACAACACTCTGCCTAGCAACACTGGGCCAGTACTGATATGGAAATACAAGTGGATGTTTCTTGACAAGTCCATTTTTCAAAAGTGTTTTTAATTGGGAGAATGTATTACATACCCGTGTGCGTTCTTAAGTGGGCTTTCAGATGAGATGACTTTGTGTAAACCTTCTTGCAGCCTGAAGACACAAATAAACACAAACAGATTCTTACTGCGAGTAATTCATGACCTATTTGCAAGATATGAAATGACAAAGCTAGACACCAGGCTTTGGAATGACAGAAATGTTAGCTAATGAAGAACAGAGGTTGTTTTGCAATTCAAGAGAAAACGGGGTGTGGGTTTGAAAATATATATATACAGTATAAACAACTTCTAAAATATATATGATACATGCTCATTTATACCTGCTATTATTGACTCATAAACAGATATTTTCATGTTAATAAATGCAAGGCTCAGGGGAATGGTCATCCCTGTGAATAACTATTGAATTGGGGAACACGTCCTCAGATTGACGAGTAGAGACATGTAGGATGAGACTGCTAAATCCCATTTTTACACGCTGCTGCAGGCAAGTTGACATTATGTATCCTACAAGTAGCTGCACATCATATGTCAAATGGTAGATTTTGTCATAGCTTCTGAGCGAGCTTCTGAGCGAGCTTTGCAGCGTAAACCCTTTAATTTGCTTAAGAGCATGCAAATTCAAGGGAGCCTGTTTGCAAATGTGTGTGAGAAAAAACAGCTCGGATGACTTAAGGCAAAAGTGTCTCTGAAGCCAGCAGTTCACAATCAGGATAAATGCATCTGATATGTGTTTAAGCTGGGGCTGACATACAGGACTATCTAATTATCACAAACACATCCACCCACACGCTCACCCAAGCAGTGCCTATAAACTTATCGGCCTCTTTAAAGATGGACTGTAGCAATGTGGTTCTGCAAGTTGATATTTAATTATAAAGGCGGAGACTTGTTCCACTGTGGGACGAATAAAGGTCAATGTTATCAGAAACTGAAAGAGCAAAAGAGGCCAAAGTTGTTCCATTGTTCTACCTTCATCCACACCATTCCAGGACACTCACTCTGAACGAACTCCACGTTATCAAATGTATAAAGAATTTGTAATGACTCCTCTACACAAATGTCTGAGTGATGTCATTCAGGTGCCACGAAATTATACAAACAGTAATAACTTAACTTTTATTGGTGTGGTTCTCTGTTTTGAATATTTTAATGTTTTGTTTTACTTTTATTCATGTATATATCGTTGGTATGGTATTGTTAATGTATTTTAATTGTTTTTCATTCTATACATCACTTAAATTCTCAAAACAGACCTGTTTCACCTTGCTTTTCCTTAATTTTGTTCTTCGATATTTATTTTTGTATGTTTTGTAAAGCGTATTTGAGGGTCCAAAAAAAGCGCCAAATAAGTTTGACATTTTATTATTTACATAACGTTTGCATATTTAACTTTGTTACTTTTGTCTCTGTGCAGCACTTTGGAAACGTATTGTGTAAAAATATTCTTTATGTAACTAAAGTGGATTGGATTGGACATACCTGGGTAATCACAATGGTGAATTCTCCTTTTCTCCAGATCGGGGTTGTTCCGTCGGTTATATCTGACTGGCATGGTGGTCTGAGATGGAGCTGGAGTGCTTTGGGGGGCTCCTGAGGAAGGCACAGGAGAGGGATGGGGCAGGGGTAAGTTAGCAACAGGACTGTGGCCCAGGCCGGGGCTGCTCCCGGCGAGCTTGGAGGCGATGGAGGCAGCGTATGATGGAGGGGGAGATAACGTGTGGAGCAGCTCTTTTTGCCGGTCAGGACTGCCAGGCTCGGAGCTGGGGGGAGAGGGGGGCAGGTAGGCTGGTTGTTGTGGGAGAAAGCGGGTGTGCGTGTGGGCGCCAGGACGGGTGTAGGACCTGTTATGGCCACAATAAGCAGGCTTCGTAGTCTGATCTTCATGGTAAGGTGTGTGAATAGGTGATGGTCCTGTAGGCATCTGAGAATGATGATCCATAATGTTTCCATGGTGATGTTCGAGGCCAGAGTTTAGAAGCTGAAACAGAGAGCTGCCGTTGTCGTGGAGCGTGTTTTGTTCGTATTGAGGGGGCATCTCTTGTTTAATAAACACCTCTGAGCCTGAACTGGTGCAACCATTGTGAGAGTTGTTAAAAACACTAAAGTCTGGTAAACCTGTCATGTCCATATTCATCCCACTGCCCGCCTGTCCAGGGCTGCAGCTTGCATTGGGGAGGTGAGTGGAGAAGCACTGTGCAGTGGGCTCTGTCTTGATTTGGGTCACAGTGGAGTGGCTTTGGTCCTGAGGGAGCCGTACCTGCTGACACAGGCCCATTCTCAAATAGGCGACATCCTGGAGATACAGATTCATGTTGAGGGTGTAGGGAGCACAGGGCTGATCGTCACTGAAGAACTGGTCCATCACAGACACTGGCTCGCGTGTCGGCTTTTGCTGATTGTCTCTCTCTGACGACTGAAGAAAGGAGATGTATCTATCTAGTTCACACTTAGTCTGTGGAGAAAAAGAAACTTGTTCACTTTTTCTGCTCCATAGGACCATCACAAACAAACGCTGCACATCACAATTTAAAGGAGACAGGTTTGATCATTCTGTCACTTCACAAACATTTATCAAGTAGGCATCAATAAGTCCCTGCCACATTCCTATTCAGGCTGCTAGGTCATCTCAAAACCCAAGATAGATGCAAGCAAGACACCAATTAATGAAAACAACACTACTCTATAATGGGGTTCAGAATACCATATCCTTTTTTGCCCTATCACTCAACATATATTTGTGTTTAATTTATTTATGGCAATAGGGATATATGTATGGATAGGACTATGGCCATGGGACATGTGATGAGCTGAGTTTTGAGGCCTGCATCAGTACAACATGAAAGGCAAGGGGGAAACACCCTTGTCTCTCCCGCCTGCAGCAGCAGCAGCAGCAGCAACAGCAGCAACAGCAGCAGCAGCAGCAGCAGCAGCAGCAGCAGCACTACTGAGGCACGGCTGCTATTTCTAGCTCCTGATCCGAACAGCTGTTTAGACCTCCCTCTCTTGGGCTTGACAAGTTTTGTGTCGGACTCCTGAGCTCGGAGGGAGCTTTGAATCCGGGGGCTGGGAGTCAGTTGCTGTCAGCATGGTATGATAGTCAGTCCGGACGCCAAAAAGAGCCCAACAACTGTGGAGCAACTGGCAGGAGGCGCAGACACGCGGACAAGAATGCGTTTACAGGCTGCGACCTGCCGCCGCATCATGCCTTTATAATTGCACACTAATAATCGTATCACGCATATTTACGCCGAGTTATAATGGTGCGAAACGTGCACATCTGCCACGCCCATTCAATGCAATACACGGTGTCCTCCAGCCGCGGCTCGCTGCACACGTACCTGAGAGTAGTCCTGCTGGCCACTCTTGTCCGAGTCCGGGAAGAACGGCGAGTCCTCCAGGGGAAAAGTGTTCGGCAGAGCGGACTTCTGCAGCGCGTAAAAGGGCTCCTCCTGCCCCCCGCCACCGTTCACCGTGAGAGTCGCGGCCATGGAGCTCCGCAGCCGAAGCGCCTCTGGTCCCGGGGAAAGTGATGCTGCTGAGGGTCAAGAGCGAGGGTTGAGCTAAACACAAGGCGTGCGTGTGCGGCTGTCTGCTACATCTCCCTGCACTTGTCTCATCCTCCACTGGTTCTTGCACTTTTCTATGTCATGTAGCAGGGCGGGGGCGGCCCAGAGTAAATACAGCACACGCACCGCCTCCTGAATCTTTAAAAAACCTTTGATCATTCATTCAGCAGCAGCCACCGCCCTACGCGCCATCTAATATGATCTGCCGTCAGTGCGCGTCAGTGCGCGTCAGCACGCACACCGCAGTCACTGCGACCATGGATCACCCCTCACACTGTTACACTACATTAACATGCACTTAATAAGCTACTACTAATAATAACCTCCCATGATTGACTAAGACGTATGTCTAAGAACACATGACCAGACCCTTTGTGTAGTTTACGCTGTTTTTGGACTCAGGACTCATCGAATCCAATTGTTAGTGCTGCTTGTTGAATATTTTATGTTTATTGTAACCTATTTTAATACAGTACATTCACGTCTCACAATGGAAACTGATATATATATATTTATTTGTGTAACAAACTGGTCCTCATCCATCCCAGAGTGAGACTTGACTAACAATTCAGCAGACAATTAACAAAAATGAATTAAAAGGCCAGTCGTCCCATGGATGAGATCCCTAAACTTTAGATCAAACATAGTTTGAATCTATATATATTTTATCACATAAAGGAATAATATGTAATTTTCGCTCTCACTTTTATGTCATTAATACAACCTAAGCCACTGCAGTAAACACACATGTCGCTGCTCCTCCAGATCAGATTACTAGTTTGTTACAACTGCTGTGGCCCAAACCAAACAAGCTGGCAACCCAAATGTGAGTCATATGATGCTAATTCTGCTTTCTGATTGGAATAACCGAAATATTCAATGTTAACTAATAGTGGCGATTATATCCCTGAGTAATTTTGTTATAAATCTGGATTCACATTTTAATAGTAAATATGATTTGAACATGCTGACCTTGTCTCTGACAACAAAGACAAAATATGGATTTTCTTTTTATTTATGTCATGGTGTGGATTTTAATTTTGTATTTTTGTTTTATTTTGTAATTGGTTTTCTGTGGTTTGGTTTTAGTTTTGCTTCCTGTCTTGTTCCCCAGTCTTGATTGTCTGCCCGCCCTGATGTGTTTCACCTGTGTCTCTGTGTGTCTATATGTACCCTGTGCTTCTCTCCCCTTGTGCTAGTCCATTGTATTGTCTACGTCTGTCTTGTTTGTTCATGTCGTCAGTCTGTTCCTGGTTATTTTGGTTTTTGAAGTTCTGTTTTTAGGGGCGACAGTAGCTCGAGCATTGGCCTTAAGGCCAGAAGGTCGTGGGTTCAATTCCCACCTCTGCACCTTCTCCATCGACTCCCACTGATGACTGCTGTCGTTGTGTCCTTGGGCAAGACACTTAACCCCACTTTTCCCAAAGCCCCCACTGAAAGATCAAGGCTATGCTCACACTCAGAGAGCAGCCGTCCTCCTGTGGACTCACCACCTGCAGAGGGTCAGTGAGAGGCTGGTGCTATGAGACTTGGGTGGCATCTCTGATTGCCACCCCCCTGACCCAGAAATGGATTAAAGGGTAGAAAATGGATGGATGGAAGTTCTGTTTTTTACCTTGGACTTTATTTTATTAAATCATTATTTTGGCATTCTCGCATTTTGAGTCCTCCTCCTTCCCACCACGTGACAATTTAACCAGGATAAAAACTCATTGAGATGTCCTGGACACAGAGGGACAAATTTAAAAAACAATGTACACATATAAATTAAATCACAAAACCTAAAAAAAATTTACAAGCCGATGCCTTTTGCTCAAGTTAATTTAGGAGGCGTTTAAACCCATTTAGTGAGACCAGCTAAAATCCCTCCGAAGTTCATTCAGTTTGAGCAGCAGCAAAATTAAGACAACTATTACATCTACATACTATTCCACTATTCTTTAGTAAAGGGAATATTGCACATTGCAGTGGGAGCAAAATGTCACATGATCCAGGAAAAAAAGCACATTCCTTACATTAATTATGGCACTAATGATTTTATGCAAATATAAAAACAATCGTTAGGTTTCACCTCTAGACTTGTTCAAACAAAAGTCGGGGATGTTTGCAAGCAATTGTCTGTGGGCAGAAACTGCAAATCTGGAAAGGATGAGGTTATAATGATAGACAGATCTAACACAAGACACGGCTGCCAAGAAGCAGACATTCTTGGACAGTTTTTAAGCAAAACTAACTTCTGTTGTGACCAGTTCATGTTTCAAATCTTAATAATCACACTATATTACACACTATTACACACTATTCATTTATAAACACACAAAAGGTTTTTTATTTACAGGTAAAAAAAAAAAAAATGGGCTAAAATCATCATTTAGGTTTTTCTGGTTTTTTGGTGTGCCGTCCAGATACTTCTTTCTTGGTCTGGAATATAAAAGATAATAATTGATTATTGAATAACAACATTATTTTCAAAAGGTCAAAGGTTCATCTCAATTGTCTTCTGGTGCTTTCATTGACATGGTAAATGCAGAAGACAAATGTAATAAAACCAATAAAGTGAACAATAAAAGGTGATTTATCAAAGCAGACTGAAGCTTCAGAGCTGTGACTCATGTGAGGCGTTGTGAGATACACTTACAAACACTGTGGGTTTGGGTTTGTGGGGCGACCCTTTGGCCTGCTGCGTCCCTCTGGTGGAGGCTTTATCTGCTCGCAGCAGGTTCGACTCCTCCATCTGTCCAGACCTCATGCTGATCAGGACCCGCTTCATTACAGCCAACTCCTGTGAAGACACATCAACAATGAATGTCACAAATCTAAAACCCAACTCAAGAAATCTCAGCCGAGGTTGACATGTTCCGGGCGTGTTGGGGTGGCAGCAGGGCAGAGAACTCCGGGCCATTTCAGTTCTATTTATCAGCCCCGAGGACATGAGCCCCGGCATGTCACACACACACACCCCTGGCATCTCAACCAGCCAGGCTGAGCAACAGCTGTCTGTGACAGGGCACATACTTCATGTTGCAAACGACTGGGCCTGGGACGCACACAGGGAAACACTGCAACACATGTGCAATAAGCAAATGTGGATTTTCAAATTTAGAACAAATTGAAACAAGTGAGCGAATATCAAATGGTATGTGCGGCTGGTCGATGCGACATCACCAAGTAATTAAGAGTTTAAAGTTGACATTGATCAGCTCTAACCCAAAGACCCTTCAATACTTGATCAGCTCGTGCATTAGCAGCTATATGTTGGTTTGGCTAATATTATTTTAATTCTCGAGGCCGGCTCGGCTGGATAAACCAGCTTCTCACCATTCAAACAGTCTGGGCTGGTGACAGCATTAAACTATTATACTAAACAATGCAACAGAAACTGAAGCACGAGTGTACCTCCCGATGGTTGAGGAGCCTCTCCAGATCAGCAGCCATGTTGTTTTTCACTTGCTGCAATGTAGACTTCTCTCTCCTCAAAGAGCTGGAGAAAAAGAAAAGCATATATTAAAATAAGAGGTTCATAAACAACAAAACATGTTTGCAAATGTATCAAGTGTTAGCTCTGAAGAACCCAATAAAGGAGTCCTTATGCACCGTGTGGTTACACAAACAGTAAACAAAACAGAATCATCAATCGTTCTAAATGTCTAACTATCGGATTAGTTACTTCTTCCTTCCACTGGACTGTTTTTCACTCAAGGCGGCACCGGCAGGAGTACAAGCAGGAGCGTGTAGGGGGGTTCTCATAAGCAAATAGTCTTGCAAATCTTAAAATAACAGCTGTGTCGTCATCTAAGATTTAACTGAGCACTAAGAAAAGGCGCTTAACCCATGGGTCTTGTAACCTTAGACACAGGTGCTCATTGTGATTCTGTAAATATTGCATCAGAGCAAAGTTTAATACGAGCACCACCTCATATTTACAGTATATACAGGCCTGTTATGAGCCTTAGCTGCAATTATCTTTGTGTTTAAGAAGCTGAAAGTAAATATTTTGGGCAGAATTCAAGCAAAACATTTGACTAGATTATGACTGTGTACTTTGTAGTGGCAGTTAGAGACGGCCTTTTGAAAAGCCTCAGGTTAGTGCAAGTATCAAATTCAGGTGAGAAACGTGACAAATGAGTTCAGGTTTGATTTATGCAAAAGTCAGTTTCCTTAAAACAACATTCACAAAGTGCTAGAACTGGATAACATGTGAATCGACTTAATGCTTGTGCTGACATACTTTGACTTGATTTCCAAAATGGGTTTCGATTTCAATGGCCATCTACTAAATAAACATGTAAGCCTTTGCAATATCATAGTTACAGATGTTATACTTACTTCTTATTATGCTAAAGCTAGAAATGTTATACTTGCTTCTTTATTATGCTAAAGCTAGACTTATTGTTCATTTACCTTGTGTTGTGTGCTCCTCGTTCCTACTGTTCTGTAACCTGTGATGCAACACTGAAATTTCCCCACTGTGGCTGGAAATTAAAAGATCTCTTAATCTCACTCTTGAACGGCAAATGGCAGAAATGCTTAAAGCCTCGGGGGTGTTCTCCTCGATGATGGGGGTGGTAGAATGAGGGGTAATTTCGCTGCTCCTGACAGACTAAATGTACTGTACCTGTGTTTACATACGCTGTGTTTTTCTACAGTGTTCGTACTTGACATTGTCCTCGAGTGACGCCACCCGCTGCTTCAAAGTGCAGATTCGAGCCTCTCGCAGTTTCACCGTCTCGATCAGGTAGCTGTAGGGCTGCTGTGTCTGCTGTAATAGTTGATTGGCTGCCAAAAGCTGGAATATGAATGTACACACGGCACATCAATAATTACACCAGTCATTATTAAACTCCAAACATGAGCACTCAAGTCATTACAAAGCTTAATAACAGCTCAGGAGCAGACACACTGTTCCCGCCTCATGTGCTGGAGACACGCTGTGCTTTTTTGGACGCGAGCTCAAAGTAAAAACGGCCATATCGACAAGTACAGCACACATAGTATATATGTAGAACTCACCAGATAACGTTAATGTTCTCGAGGCGTTGTTGGGACACACACTTACAAACACTGTGGGGTTTGGTTTTAGGGTGACCCTGTGGCCTGGTGTTGATTCCACCTTTTTTAATGGAATTGTTTTGCTTTTTGTCTCACTATAGACTAATAATAATAATAATAATAATAATGCTGTGGTTTTATATAGCGCTTTTCAGGACACTCAAAGACGCTACACATGTCATTATTCTTTCACTTCATACACTGTGGTGATAAATTACTATTGTAGCTATAGCTACCCTGGGGGTCCAACCATTCACACGCACACCAGACTCTTTCTAGGCAATGGGGGTGAAGTGTCTTGCCTAAGGACACAACGACAGCACTTTACAGCTGCAGCCGCCCCACTATGGCACCTGGTATTCTCAGAAGTCTCTCATCACAGTAGTAACCAGGCCCTGTCCTGCTTAGCTTCAGAGGTCTGAATGAATCTGGCTTTTCACATGCAGGTATGGCCACTAATCTATATATTTAAAAAGGGACAGTATGTCATATGTTAATTTTGAATTACATGTTTTAAGTTTCCCTAGACAACAGGTCACAAAAATTATTTGGCCTTTTCTGAACAAAGTTTTGAAGGAGTTATTATTATTGATTAATAATACAATAGACATGATGTCCGTAATATCTACAGTATGTTTAGAATTGTATTTACTATCCAATCGGAGAACAGAATGAGCCTCTCATTTAGGAGGCCAGTTTGTTTAACTGATCTTGGCTCAGCTACATGTGTCACAGACAGGACTATTCTGGCAACAAGAGTTAAACGGTGATGACTTCCCCACTTCTTTGTTGTATTTTATGTTTCTTAATAAACAAAAAGACAACACACCGCTCACATAAAGACATCAAATCTATGCATAAAAACAAAATAAAACTCAAAGAAACATTAACTTAAGATAGTTTAATCTGTGGCACAGATCTTTATCACCCTTATAGTGTGGACAGTTCCAAGTCGGCTATGTCAACAAAAGTCGGCGAGACAGCGAGACTTCTACAACAATACAGAAGATTGCACCATACAGTTGTTATGGAGTGTTTTCAAATCACTGAACAATAAATAAAATAGTTACACATTAATCCCAGTTTACGGCTGCAGAGCTGCGCGCCGCTGGGTGGGAGCTGCAGGACAATAGTTAGTCACAACATCTGCGAGGGCGTTCGGCTGGTTAACACCCAGGCACTCTGTGAATGGGACATATGATTTTTCACTACTGTTCTTTTCATACTCTGTGAATCATGAGTAATTCAGACAAGTGCCAGTCAATCACAGCTGACACCCAGCTTACAAAGGACTTAGATCTGACCAGTTTTTCATATTTGACTCTTGCACAATCGATGTAGTGGTGCAGCAGCCAGTCACCACAGCCTGTGTCCTTACTGGCAGATTTTCACACAGGTGGAGTACACATGTGACTATTATGAAGGAGAAAGAAAAAAAAACATTCACCTGTAATAGTATGTCAACTATACAACAATAGACTGTTGATTGGTGTAAGCAAGCAGTTGGATGATTGAAGAGTGTAGCTGTCACGCTTTCTGGCAGTGTTTCTCTTTTGTCAACAAGTATGAAGAAGGCAACCTGTCTTCCGTCTCATGTCAAAGCCTCTCTGTCTATGTAGCCCAAAGTCAGGCCGTAGACCTCTCTATACAAACTGTCAAATTCCTGAAAAACCCTGGTCAGGATTAGGGACAAAGCTTTTGAGGCTCTTCAAGCAGCTTTAATGAAGTGTGTACTGAACGCATTGTGTCGACTCTAAATTATGTACCAAAAAAAAAAACAGTTTTCTGTTTTGTTTAAGGATCATAATCTCAGGTTCAGCCGGTTATAGCTGCAGATGTTTTGAACTGAGGTGGGTGGTTCGTTCGTGACGGAGGAGCGGCGTGACTATTATGTTTTTTGTGAAATAAATTATTACAGCTTTGATTGAAATAACTGTCACTCGTATTACTGAAATGGCAGGTAGCTTAAATGAGTCACGCAGTATTTTGGTTCAGCCTCAAGCGGTTACTCGCCCGAGAACACACGCTAGTTCCAAATCTGGATGAGTGTTGCATCAAAAGTCATGCGGCAGAAAGCGTGTGATTGATTACGGCAAGTAAAATCGGCTGAATATTTTATAACACGACTTTGACATAGTGGCAAATCACTTCATCAAATAATACAATAGAATTACTAATAAGTATTCAGAATTACTCACACCTACATGAATCTGTCTCCAAGTTTAGGAAAACCAAGGACACAATAGAAAAGGTTAAAAGCTTGGGCCTATTTTACTTCATATTTTCCATGTTACTGTAGTTTCTGTAGAAGGCCTCGTTGATTAGACTTAAGCCATAAGTGATTCTGGAATCCATCAGAATTGTGCAGCAAGTGAATGTCTTGTGTAGTGCATGTGAATGAAAAGAACATTTAAACCCAACAACCAAATATATGATGAGACCTTAACGTTCACCGTTTTCATATTTTCTGATTTCTAACGCGTTGTCACGTGTAGTCGTGTGCATTTACCTCCTCAGACACGTGTCCCGCCTGCGTCCGGTTTGAGTCCAGTTCTGTCCTCAGTGCAGTGTTCTCCCTCTCGAGCTGCAGCACCCTGCGGGCTAAGTGAACGCTGCGCGACAACCACACAAATAAAAACATTAAAAAACGCATTCGGAATTTTTGAATCACAATAACGTCAACAAGTGCACACTAGTTCATTCTTGACTCTTGTTACCACAATATTAAGGTGCTTAGCTAACATTTGTGCAATTTGGCACCGCACACGGGAATCTACAGTAACAGACATGGTTTATGGAGAAACCAGTTTCAAATGCAGTCATTTTTTTACACTGGGGCAGACTATGGAGTCTTAGGGGAAGACTGACTGAACCAAAGCCACCGGATCCTCTAAATACCACATTAACGTACACATAAGATTCATTCTTGACAGAAGTGTCTTGCCTAAGGACTAGGGGTGTGACGATATATCACGATACTTTCTCCTGCGATTCGATTATCGATAGGCATTTGCCAAGTATTGAAATCAATTTTTATTTTTATTTTTTATTATTTTTCAATTAGTATCAATACTCAATATATGGCTACATTACGCATCTCCATTCCATCCATCCATCCATCCATTTTCTACCCTTTAATCCATTTCTGGGTCAGGGGGGTGGCAATCAGAGATGCCACCCAAGTCTCATAGCACCAGCCCCTCACTGACCCTCTGCAGGTGGTGAGTCCACAGGAGGACGGCTGCTCTCTGAGTGTGAGCATAGCCTTGATCTTTCAGTGGGGGAGGGCTTTGGGCAAAGTGGGGTTAAGTGTCTTGCCCAAGGACACAACGACAGCAGTCATCAGTGGGAGTCGGTGGAGAAGATGTAGAGGTGGGAATTGAACCCACAACATTCAGGCCTGAAGGCCAATGCTCTACCAACTGAGCTACTGTCGCCCATCTCCATTCCATTTATCATGAAATAAAGTGTATTTTTTCACTTACAATTTTTCTTTTATTTATGCCATAAATTGGCATATGGTATATTTCTGACCAATATATCAATAATCGTCATATCGTGATAAAATCGCTATCGTGATATTATCGTTATCGTGAGCTTTGTATCGTGTATCGTATCGTATCGTGAGGTACCCTTAGGTTCCCACCCCTAATAAGGACACAGTCGTCCCTGGTATTCCCAGCGGTCTAAGATCCAATTTATGACCAGGCTTTGTCCTGCTTAGCTTCAGAAACGTGACTAGATCAAGCTGTTGATTAGCAAGTATGGTCACATATTTAGTTTGAGATACCAGGGACTCAAGGTCGAACTATAATGATGTTTAATTGTGCAACAGGCAATGGTTTAATGAAGCATTATCTTTAACCTTTGTTTTAGCCTCCGTTTTGCTGTTGTGGGGACGTTGGCGCCATAGCCATAAGAAAACAGCACTCTCTCAGCCTCCTCTTCATCCCCCACTGGAATCACAAACATGATTCATTCTCATAAATGGTTGTGTTCCAGACCCTGATGTAGTGATGGGTCGGTGTCTGTGCGTACTCTCGGCCGCCTGCAGGGTGACCTGGTCCAGCTCCTGCTCCAGTCTCTCGTAGGTCTGCAGTCGAGCCGCCTGCTCCGCTGTCTGCGCATGCAGCTCCGTCACACGCTTCTCAGAGGACGTCTGCAGCCGGTAAAACTCCTGTGTCAGGACCTGGCATGAATACAATTCAAATGACAAATCATGCGGATGTAAAAAAATTATTATTAAATCTATTAAAACATCTATTTTTTATCATGTGTAAGTTTATAGTTGTTGTCTGTTGAACACTTGCGTAAAAGCTTCAACACTTTGAGTATTACTTAAACTTTACTTGTTGTAAAGCCTAAAAACACCTACATAATATCAGAAACATCCATGAATATCATAATGTAATAACAATGAAATATTGTGCTGAAATAAACAACAAATATGAAATATAATTAAATTCATGCAATTCCTAATTTGTGAATTGTGAGAACAGACATTGTGGATAAACCATTAGTGATGGTGGTACCTCTTGTTTCTTGTGCAGTTTCTCACACTCCAGCTGGCACAGGGCCAGGGCCTGCGCCGTCTCCTCTTTGACCATCTCTGCACGCTCAGCCTCAAAGGCGTGAAGTTTGGCCTGATTGGACAGCTCTGCCACTCTGTTGTCTGTTCCCAGCTGCAGCTGTCTGAACCTGGACAGATCACAAAAACACTGCTCAAACATGACGCATGTCATTAAACCGTCCTGGGCCTGTGATGGTTACAGGAGATTCTATCTCTTGAGAAATCCTGGTCTTCAACTTTACAAAACCTACACTCAGCTCTAGGCCCTGGTTAGGCTCAGGCATGTTTTGTGGTTTCCAATAAATGATGATGCGTTTTCTTCCAAATACATGAAAGTGGATTGTGTGGTTAATTGTCTGCCAAAACAAACTAGGAAATGATAATTGAGTGAACATTGTGCAATGAACAATTTACGAGTTCAATGTGTTTAGTGACACCTAACAGCTTAAGGAGTCCAAAGAGTCACAGAGCAGGAAAGCCAGGTCTTAAATCTTTTTATTTTATTTTTTTAAATAATGCTCATAGCAATGTTTGTCCCTGCGCAACCTCAGATCATCCCATTTGGCAGTTAGAGAACCATGTCTATCCTCAGGAATTAAGTAATTAAAGATAATACCCATGTCAGAATGCAAAGGCAAAGACATAAAAGGAAACTTCTTGAGAAGAAGTGAGCAGGAGATCCCAATACAAAAACATAATAACATCATTGTGACCAGGGCTGGACTGGCCATCGGGCGTACCGGGCAATGCCAGAAGGGCCGATGCCCATATTTGGGCCGGTCTGTTTGCCTCATACAAAAAAGATGTTTGTGAAAAGTGTAAATCCGTTGAGAACTGTTCGAGGGGGCGCGCGTGTCCGCGGGCGCCTGCTGTATGTACTCGAACGGGATTCTACCACCTCAGCGGCCGCAGTGTTCCCGCATCCAGCGGCTCTGAGCTGGACGCGGGAACCGCTCACCGGGAGCCGCTCACATGGACGTCGGAACTATTTTCTGAGAGGGGGGGCGGGTTTTTGTTGGGAGAGTCGAGGGAGAGACTCATACTTGGATTACACTGGATAATAACATACCATCTTAATTGTTAAGAAAAAAAAAAAAAATAAACAATATATATCAAGCAAGTCACTTATCAAACTGAACTTTTTTTTTTTTCAATACGCATTCATGCGTCAGTCTCTCCGGTGGCTTCATTGTGTTGTGTAGCCCAGTGACGTGCGGTCAGATGAGGCAGGTAAGGCCCTCACCTAAGATCATAGAAAGAAAAGTAATATAATGGATACAATAACGTTTGGTCACTTTATCAAGTGATTTGTGCTGTGCCTTATTTAATTTATTTATACCTTGAAATCGCAGATTTGACAGAGCGGCGCTGTGAGGCAAGCCTCTCTTGGGAGACGTAAAAAGCAACAGCTCACAGGGAGAGTCCTGTGAGGTGCTATCAAACTGTTTTCTCTGTTTATCACAGTTTAAAAAGTTCAAAAATATTTAATTTACAATCAACATGTTTACATTTAAGAGGATGGCTCATAAATTGTGTTTTTGAAGCAAATACGGGTCTTAATCGCGCTCAACCACAGCTTGTAAGTGAGGAAAGCCTCAAGTGGGCGCTTGTGAGCCCAAACGTTGGCTGCATCCAATTCCATCAGAAAGCTCCTTTCTTGTTCTTTTCTGCTAAGGGCAGCTACAGGTTTGGCTAACATACCTATAATACATTTTAAGATAATTTAAAATGCACTTAGAGTAATGTTTTGCTTCCAATGATGATATGAATCATAAGAAAAGGAGGTGAAGGGTAAGGTTGAATTTAGAAATTGGATTTACCCGGGAGTCGGCTGCAGCAAAACTCGCAGTTTACGGAGGAGACACCCGTTTTTTTTTACTTTTTAAAACTCATTGAACTTATTTCCAAATGGAGGATTACATGTCTGTGCTCAAACTATTATCTGGACTTAAACATGAAACTGGTCCTAACTGAAGTGGTCTGTGCTGTTCATTAATACCTAAGGTATAGGCCCATAACACACTTTTTACTTTTTACAAACGTTTGCGTTTTTTATGAGAAAACTATGCAGACATTAAATCATATTCTGCTGTAGCCAAACAAATTGTGTATAAGCCGCTCCTGTTCCTGTAGGTCCTGTTGGTTTATATGATGTATAATCATATGAACACATGATTGATCCCCCACCGCACGTCACTGGTGTAGCCAGGTCTCTATTTTTTATTTTTTTATTTATACTTTATTAAGGACTCACATGCAAGCACAGGATCCATAGCTAAGAATAATTAAAGAAAAGTTTTAAAAATAACAGAACAGAGTTAAAACACACATAGTAATCACATATTCACATATTTAGACCAAGTCACACATACAGAGAAGCACGCCAGTGACTCCAGAGCAAAGAAGTGAACCTGACTGAGCTAATGTAAGGACAAACCAGTGACTGTACAATAGCATTAGGCACCCTCACCACTCTACACATAAACCGATAGTAGCAGTGACGTAGGGCAGCAGGAAAGGAGCGCACCCTGCACTCAGCAAACATCTGACTCGCACTACTGTGTCTGGGGATCTTCAACAGCATCCTCATCGAGTCATTATAGGCAACAGTTAACTTCTGCAAACTGGCCTGCTTATAGCTCCGCCATAGTTGGGCTGTGTATAAGGGAGCACAAAAAGATTGGAACAGGGAGGTTTTAACATTCACAGAGCACATGTTAAACTTTCTGACCAGCATGTTGGATTGGCCATACAGTTTACATCTCTGTCTGTGTATATCCCGGTCGTCTGTGAGGTCACTGCATATGTAATGGCCAATGTAATGTAATGTAATCTCTAATCTGCGCAAGGCTGAGAAAGAGCGCTCAGAGGCTGAGACAGATATTAGCCAGACAGAGCTTCATAAGCACCTCCGACAGCATGGAGCGGGTTTTGGGCTGCAAGGAACGCAGGATAGTGATAACTTCTCGCTCCCGGCACACGCGGAGGGGGTGCGGCCGCACCCCCCGCACCCCTAGTTCCGACGTCTATGCTCACAACACAACACGGTGAGCGCGTAGCCGCAACGTGACCATATACCCAAGACCATAAACGTGCACAGGACCATGCGTGTCTTTGCGTAATTTGTGCACCCAATAAATACACCGCTGCAGGAAACAGTCCGCGTCTCCCCTCTCCTCTCGAAGTGCGACTAAATTAAAGCTCGGGTGCCTAAATTTTCCATTGCATTAAAAGTTCATGTTTGAGGCCAAAAGTAAAATGTTGTGAAAAAATTAAACAGATTTAGAGCCAGCCAATGGCTGACAATATGCATTTCAGACTTTTTTGACCAATTCTCATCCCTGTAACAAACAACAGTGTTGTCTGCGTCCACCTCCCTCACTCTGAGACATGTTTATTACTCTCTTGTAATGTAGACTATTGCACTTTAATTTTTTTGTTGAAACTGTAGACATCCTGAATCTCTACAGTATGCTTCCACATACTGTATAAACCAGGGGTCGGCAACCTTTAGTGCTCCTCCAGTGGCTCCTGGAGCCTTTTCAAAAATGTCTGAAAATGGAGTGGGAGGGCTATATTTTATTCCTAGTTTGAATGTGGTTTCTGTAGGAGGAAAAACATTCCTAACGTATTTCAATGCTGTAAAAATGTGTATAAGTAATATTCAATTTCAACATTTCTGTCAACGTAGTGAGTCATATCCTGTGGCGCGGCCCCGCGGCAGACGGCCGCTGCTGTAAACAAACCGGCGTGTGCGCACGGATCCCAAAGATAAAAAGAGAACGAGTCGATAATAAGACTGGACTAAGAACAAGACTGAACATTTGCTTTCAGTCAATGAGGAAGGACTGCTTCATGTTTGCGATGTAATAGGAAGTTTTGTTGCAACACGAGGAACAATGAAGCACTAAATACCGTTCACAGGGATTACGTGAAGGATTCTTTCATACAAAATCCGGAGCACCTTTTTCAGACTTCAAAAACCTCCGCAAAGACTGTGAAAGAAAAGGCCATTAAGGACATTCAGCTCCAGCAAACTTCAGCCTGTGACGTAATCGATATGAGTGGACAGTGCAGGTGTGTGACCTTTGAGCCAAAAAGCGGATTTATTTACTGTATTTCTACAGTTGCATGAAGGCAAAAAAATGGAAGTCAAAGTTAAAGCAGAGTCATCACGTGTTGCGTCATTCTCTCCAGGACACGCTGCAGTGAAAACACACATTTGACAATCATGAATGCTAATCATGTATTTGTAGCCTTTACTTGGTCATTTAGATAATAGGCTAATGTAGCTAATGTAGCTACATTGTGTAACCTTCATATAAGCTTTATACAAGGCTGTTATTTTTTTGCGGCTCCAGACAGATGTTTTTAGTATTTTTTGTCAAATATGGCTCTTTGAACCTTTTGAGTTGCCGATCCCTGGTATAAACAAACTGTAAAAAACGTGACAAAAACATGCCTGAGCCGGTAAGAAGGAAAAAATGCCCGGGCCGTTTTTTTGTCCCAGTCCAGCCCTGATTGTGACCCTAGTTGCCCGTCACAAAGCACATGCAGCTGAAGTCGTAATGTCATCTAGAGGTAGAGGTATTCTAACCTTTCATTAGTCACCATCTGAATGTGTGGTTTTACATTCACTGTAACACTAACTAAAACAAGCACCACATCAACAGCATGTCACAGACTCACTTGACACACCTGAATTATAGCTCCTTGAAATAATTCTGTGCAACATCCTAGACATCTATCCTCACATTAAATGTCCATCAATAATTCAACAATTTTTCAAATTAACAAGCCAAATTATTCATGATGTTCTGGTGCTCCTCAGGCAGCTCTCAGACATGCGAACAAACACACACGCACACACTATACAGCTGACGCGTGGCTGGATAATATTAATAACCCTCTATTACAGCTGAGCTGATAGGATTTCATCATCCATAGACCACCGTCCTAAGCAGTGTGCTTACTGTGATAGACATGCGCACATGGGCCACACTTTGCACCGGGGGAGTCCAGAGTTATTTAATTGAAGGCCTCACTTTGAGATATACACATCACTGAGAGCCATAATTGGAATTTTCCAAAAGAAAACATTTATCAGAGGTTGTTATTTGCAATAGAACCTCAATTCACTCTCAGAAGCATAATATCCAGTTAGTTTCACATAAAGATGTATGATATGTTTATCTAAGTTATAAGCATAGTCCCTTGTGCTATCCTCAGGTCAAAATGACGGCAGTGATTAAAAGTAGAAGAAAAACAGGGTATTTTTTGTCGACTTTTAGTCACTGTCACAGCACAAGGATAGACAAAGCTACATTTGCGAAATAATTATGTGTCATATAATTCACCCGAACACTTACAACACTTAAACTACCCAACAAACAGGTCTGATGGCTGCGGTGGACCCCGTTGGTCTTGGTGACAGAGGCTTTTCTCCCCCACACGCAATAAACTTAACACAAACTAAGTCATTTTGAATTAATTATAATATTAGCGTAGAGTTGTGTCCAAAACAGATCTAAGAATCCTTTCATGAACTCAGAAAGTTCAAACTGTCCTACTTTCCTGCAAAGTCCAAACATTTATTTGGGCATTTACAAGTGGAATAATGTGACGCCATTTCAGGCTTGTCTGCTTCATTCTTTGCCCCAAAAATAGGGAGCTCCATGGGGTTAGGGGTTAAGGGCTTGTGGCTGGCATCTGTCGTTGCTGGCTTGTGATGCGACACAGAGTGGGAATGCGATCGGAGCAGAGAGAGTGCAAGAGAGAGTGTGTCGGCCTGGAAAGACCAACAGCTGGTACTTTGGATCTGGAGAAATGACCGGCATGTCAAGTAAGTAGTAGTAACTCACATACTGCTGCTGCCGGGTCCTACACCAAAGATTAGGAAAATACTACGGTGTTTTTCTATAAAAATCCAATGAGAAAAATGTACAACATTGCAGAAAAGGTTAATTCAAGTCAAGGTGATACATTTGTAATTAAAACTAAACATAGAAAAAGTGTACCAGGGGACACAACACTGGGAGTACGTGTAGCGAAAGTTCAGAATCCAGCTTTCTGTTGTTTCTGCTGCAATTTTTATGAAAGAGGTGCAACACGTTTCAATAGAGTGAGTGACCCAGAGGCATGTTTTCAGGCAATATTCAGTTTGGACACATGAGCCTGGAGCATGAATGAGGGACTCTGACAGCTCTAAACTTTTACATTAGAACTGCATTCATCCCAGAGTTTTTTGTATTATTTACTTTTAATATAAGCAGAGGTTTTCTTTGCACTGCAGCCCTCAGTGGGGTCATCGACACAAGCAGGTTGCAAACAAACCTTTCACCCTTCCCATGACCTCTGAGCACTCATTAATCTGCCGTCTCATTCATTCCTGCGTTCCTTCATTTGCAAAATGGCTGCGACTACAATGTATTATGCGTGCTGATTTTATGAATTTCTGTCCAATAGTGATGCAAGAAGTTTGGCAGAAGTTTAAAGAAGAAATGTGAAGCATTACTGTTTTTTATTAAAATGATCAGGCGACTATTTATGTTGTAATTTCATATTTTAGAATGTGAAATAATGTTTAGAGTAAAAAATGTATGGTGAAACAAGTATGAAAGTTAATAACGCCACCGACCTGCCCTACCTCTATCCTAACACCAGGGGGAGGTGTAGATTTTATTGTATTCAAATAACCAGTTGGAAACACTGCCATGTGATTGCAAAGGATGCAATTTCAATCATTTATGGGCTATATTTTTGGTTTAAAGTGCGATTGTGATGTCATAGTGGTCCAATGACATCATACTATTAAAAGACTGAGACAGGAGCTTTTAGACCGAGAGGTGGAGGTTACATGTTTGCGGCAGAAGTTCCTGATATCAGCAGATCTAAAAACATACTCCAGGTCTTCAACAAAGTCAACTTTGAATAATCTCATATTGTGTAATGTCTGGAATTCACAAGTAAATTGGAAAATATACAAAACATGGACTAAATAACATTAGTCAGAAGGACACTCGTTGATTATGTGTCCAACGACAAAGTTCAGGAGAGACACTTTTTCCGTCATAAACACTTAAACTAAGTCACTTTCCAAAGGTATTAGAATAACCCACTGATCATTGGACTGAATGTTATCTCAATGCCAAAGGCTGTACGTGTTTGTCGACCCACGAAATGACCGGCGCCTCATGTGACGTGGTGTCCCTTTCAAACGTGTTGGTCTTCACATATCAAAGCAAAGAATGCAACATATTTGAGAGAAACATGGAAGCAAACACGCTTTGAGCCATGCTGTTTCCCGGTCGCGGTGGTTGTGGTTTTAGAATTGGATCAACTGAAAACACTGCCCCCTTATTTTCTGAAAAGACCCAGATCCTTTGGGAGATATGCAGTGTGTTGACAAGTGTGTGATTCTATATTTATTCCATTACGAACGTTATGTGGAATATGACAGAAATTTGCTTCACTCGACAGTTCTGAGGAGCTCTGACTCATGATGATGCGCAGGAGTGAAAGTTTTAATCAGTTGTTGGAATCTTCCTTGTGAACAGTTGTGCTCCAAAGTTTACACACCTCAACAGGAATGACTTTTGTTTGGCCATATTTTGTAGATTATGAATGAAAACACACACACACAAATCAACTCGTCGTTAGTGGTTTTGTGAAGAAATGTATTGTCAAATAAACCTGTTTTCTATTTTCAATTTATCACTTAATTGAGTCGCTCTGGGGAGATCTCAAACGTGCAGTTCATGCTAGGCAGCCCTGGAAAGTATAGGGACTGGAGGCTTTTTTCTAATGGCCAACTTTACCCTGAGAGAGAATAAAGAACCTCATCCACAACTGTCATGCTAGACTCTGAGCTGTCATAGATGTTAACATGCCTCTGTGTGTGTGTGTTTATATATGTGTGTATGTGTCTGTGCGTATGTGTACAGTATGTGTGTGTGCGTGCGTATGTGTACAGTATGTGTGTGTGTGTGCATATGTGTACTGTATGTGTGTGTGAGTGTGCGTATGTGTACTGTATGTGTGTGTGTGCGTATGTGTACAGTATGTATGTGTGTGTGCGTATGTGTACAGTATGTGTGTGTGAGTGTGTGTGCGTATGTGTACAGTACGTGTGTCAGTGTGTGTGCGTATGTGTACTGTATGTGTGTGTGTGTGCGTATGTGTACAGTATGTGTGTGTGAGTGTGTGTGAGTATGTGTACAGTATGTGTGTGTGCATATGTGTACAGTATGTATGTGTGTGTGTGTATGTGTACTGTATGTGTGTGTGTGTGCGTATGTGTGTGTGTGTGCGTATGTGTACAGTATGTGTGTGCGTATGTGTACAGTATGTGTGTGAGTGTGTGTGCGTATGTGTACTGCATGTGTGTGTGTGTGCGTATGTGTACTGTATGTGTGTGTGTGTGCGTATGTGTACAGTATGTGTACGTGTATGTGTAAGACACATAACTCAGCACTTTCTGTTCCTGTATTTGTCAGTGTGGTATGTAAACAAAATGAAGGCGATTTTACGTGCCATCTTATTGTTATAAATAAAACTCACTGCTCCAGCAGCTGGTCGTATCTGGACTGCGAGTCCCTCTCAGCTGCCATCGCTCGGTCTCTCTCCAGCAGCGCCATGTCTCTGGCTTCACGCAGGTTCCTACAGAAAACTGACATCAGTCCATACATCTGTGAGAGAGCATGGTGAGGTGGTAGTTAGTGGAGTTACCGGTTTTCCCGTTCGTACATCTCCCTGGAGGCTCTCTGAAGGCTTTCTATCTCATGTCCAGTTTTCAGCCTGATGTTCTCCAGCTCGTCCCTCAACTTAGTCTCATATTCAGACTTGTAAATGTCTCTAGATCAGATAAACGCAGATAAACCTTTATTTGTCCAAAATACCACAGAAAAAAGAGAAAATAAGAGAACTCAGATTTCACAAATCTAACAGGATCTAATATTTAGGATAGTAATGAAATAAAATAAAATAAAATACATCTCTGGAGCTATATTTACACTTGATCCGTGCACACAAGTTTAGCTTGTGAATGCTGTAGTAATTCTTACATAAAGCACATCTAAGTAAAATCATTAAAGTGAACTGGAGTTTGTCACACATACTAGTGATGTGACAGCGGAATGTTGCAAAACGAACACTTTATAACAAGCAACATTTTTTTTATGTATTTCAACCATATAGCTGTGTGATACTTGTATGCATGTATGTATGTATGTATCAGATTGGAGTTTCCATGTTCTCCTTGTCTGCTTAAGTTTCCTCCAGGTGCTCCGGTTTCCCCTACCACTAAATGTTCAATAAGACTGGTTGGTGATGGTCAGAGGGTCTAGTGCACCAGCTGTGCTTTCTGTCATCAGTGTATGGACTGAAAGGAAAGCAATACCAAATTGTAAAGGTCTGTGAAATGTGCTATATCAATTAGGGCTGTCAAAATTATCGCGTTAATTCACGTTAATTATTGTTTTCATTAACGCGCTAAAAATATTTAACGCATTAACTGCCATTGACGTGTTAACACGTCAATTGCGTTTCCCGCTATTTTCACGTTCCCAGATGTCTGTTGTATCAAATATGTAAGTCTTGAGGCAATATTTTATCGAGCCAGCAGATGGCAGCATTGTTCTATGAATGGTTTGAAAACAGCTTTCTGGTGATTTCAATAAAACTTACCTCTACTCGACTGGGGATTACAGGGGAACGAAACAAGCTAGAAACAAAATTATTTTTGCTGATGAAAGTAGACAGTCCATTCTTTCAAAATCTGGTTTTGGATTTCAAATAGTCATAGTACACAATATTCTGTGGGTACCAGTTCTGAAATAGGCTGGCAGTCAATCGCATGTCCGAATGACCCGCCCATTTATAATAATATCACTCAGAATGCCACGGACACGTGCGTGTGTGATAATGACAGCGGTAACGTGGTCATATAATACACGCATATATATACACGCACATTCTCTGATGTTCTCTGATGATGGAGGAGACACGCTGAAATGCAACCAAACTCGCAAAATTAAAGCTGGGGTACCTACATTTTTCCTTTCATTAACAGCTCTTGTTGGTTTTACCCAAAAGTAGAAGGTTGTGAGCAAGTCAAACAGATTCAAGTACATTTGGTATGAATAATAATGTGTCATTACATTTGAAAATCTCATTTAACTTCAATTGGAGTGGATTTGAAATAGAATGTTAAAAATGCGATTAATCGTGAGTTAACTCATCATTACTATGCGATTAATCAACTAAAAAAATTAATCGTTTGACAGCCCTAATATCAATACAAATGACTTATTTATGAAATGAAATATGTATGTGTAATAATCATAAATCGTACATTAGTAGTGGAATGACCGAGTGCCGACATCGCCATAGTGTTAGCCGTAATGCTGGAGCTAATTTCCTTACACGGGCATTTCTTCCGCAGCGTTAGCCTTGAGCTGTAAAAGGGACAGACCTGTGTTGCTAAGATGGTTGCTAAGGCAAGCTGGAGTTTCCCCCGCGAATGAAGCCATCGGATTGGTTGATCCTTAAATGGCTCATATGTGGATTTTTTTAAAGACAATTTTAAGGCCACCTTCAGTTCTATTTCATTATACATTTGAATGTATACATCTGATATTTCTAAATGTATTTCAACAATTTTAGTGTTTTTATGTACATTCTTTGTTATTAGGACACTCTTGTGACATTACTTTGTGGGATTACTAGCTGGTGAGACTAAACTGCAATTTGCTTGATGAGGAGCTGAGCTGAAACATCATCAGTTTGTGGTCAGAGTGACATAAAAATTATCAGGAGCAACAGAGTTAAGCGGCTGAATTTACTTTAATCATATTTATTTATCCTGCTTTTATTTGGATGTGCCTGTTTTTCAAATTTTTTGCAATATTTCAAAAGTTGATGTTGAATAATAATAATTGTTTTAATGTATCACTTTTAATGTTTGCTTGCGGAGCTGTAAGACTTTGAAGTCAAACCTGGATGTCACATATTTCTCATACGCCTCCTCTCTGGCCTTCTTCGAGTCTTCTAATTGAACCTGCAATTCACAATGACACATTAGTGAATGTATTGTATAATCTGTGAGTGATTCTTTGTGTGATAATCAAACCTGCAGCCTCTCCAGGCGGTCCTCCTCATGTGCACAGCGGACACTCAGCTCCATGTTCTGTCTGTGAAGGTACTCCTTATCCTTCTGCAGCAGGGTCGCTGACTGCTGCAATATCGCCACCTGCAGGAACATTGACATAAGATTAAAAAATAAGGTCAAAATGATCATCTAAACTTTATTAACTACAGTTAGTACCTGTTTGTTGAGTGTGTCTCTCTCTCTGTTAAGAGCAGTGTGCGTTAAATCAAGGCTCTCATATTTCCTTTTCAACTCCTTCAATTCCACATCCAGCTGGTCTCTCTCACTAAAATAGTTTAGGTAAATTTATATATATATATATAAATATGTCTTAAAACATGAATACATGAAATATGCGTCTATATAGTAGATGCACATACCGTCTGATGGTTGGGTAGTTTTCCTTGCGGTAGTCTCCCTCCTGAATTAGTTGTTTAGTGTCAGCCAAATCAAGGGTCAGCTTTTGGCACCGAATCTCAAGCTCAGCTCGAAGACGTCGCTCCTCCTCATAGCTCTCAGTGAAGCAAACAACAACACAAGTATGATGTGGGAATGCAAATGTTTCATGTGAAAAAACGTTTGAAAATAATGAAACGTTTGATACCTCCATTAATGACTTCAACTGTGTCCGATGTACATCAAGCTCCTTGTTTAAACTGCCATTTTTTAGACTGAGCTCTGTCACTTGAGTCCGCAGAGGATTCACAGCATCATAGAAAAGCACCTAAAGCACAATGTGGTTAGTAAGAGCTTTATATGGGCAATTCTATGTTGCTGTATTCTAATCTTACAGAAACATATTCTTGTATGGTCATCTTATCTTCTGGTAAAGTCTTTAGATCCTGGTATCTGTCCCGGGAGATATCCAGACTTCTTAGAGAACGACGAAGCTCTCCAGCCTTGTCACACAGCTGTCTGTTGGTCTCCTCCAGTTGCTTTTGCCTCATCATGATGGTCTCCATTTCCTGCTTACGCAGTACCTGCTGCTTACTGTACAACAACACAGTAGTTGTATTGTTTTAGCATTGATAGTGAAATACCGTAATAACACATACACCTCATGATTGACATTGTTATTATTTTCAGTAATAGTAATAATAAAAATAGACCAATAATATTACTTGTTTTCCTCTTGAGCAAGTTTCAGCTGACTGTCAAGCCTGAGAGACAACACTTGTTTCTGGTGTAGAGCATCATTCAGTCTCTCCTCCAATTCTTCAACCTGTAGAGTTAAAGTGAGAGTGTGTTGCTAAAGTAAAGGCTACAGAAGGTACAGTATATCAGCCCTGACTCTGGGATGGGCTTACCTTCGTCATGTGGTCAGCCTTCATGTTGTCCAGGAGCAGGGTTTTCCGGGACAGCTCAATCTTAAGCAGCTGGAGGTTGTGCAGCAGCTCCTTCCTCTCCAGCACCTGCCGGGTGACCCTCTGAGAGCCCTCCCGGAGTTCATCTGAGGAAGACACCTCCTCCGCTGTGGGGACAGTGGTCTCCAGGCTGATGTCCTCCGACTCCAGGTCTAAGGAGCTGGACACATTCACTCCTTTTGCCTTCAGCTGCTTCTTGGGAGGCATCCTGACGCCTTTATCTACACGCCAGCTTCAGAAACCAAGTTTACATGCACACATTCGCCAAAAAGAACACATTGGTTATGTCACTCAACACCTTTTGTTTATATCCGAAAGCTTTGAGACGGACAAAGCAGAAAGCAGAGAACATCAGCGCTTCCGAACACATCCAGAGTGACAGCGACGAGTTGGTTTGAGGGTCCCGCTTCTTGAGTCTGAAGCCCGCCGCTGTTGAGTCCAGAATGAGCGGTGACCGGACATGCTCGCCCCCTGGTGAAAGGACCTGGCACTGCACTACAATATGACTGATTCCAATTTTAGAAAAAATACTTCCTTTCTGGTCTTTCCGACTCATTTGATTTACCTTTGTGGTATACATTGACCTAAGTGGTTTTAAAAGTGTCTTTAAATAGTCTTGACTATCTCTTTTTTGACCGTGAAGCGTCTCACAAAAATACCGTTTTAAAAAAACAAGGAAGGATAAGGAAGGATGTACTGTTGCGTTTGGATGCAGCCTGGTGTTCGTCCTCCTGGTCGCATGGCGGCAGTGTAAAACTAACATGGTCCTGTTCAATGTTTATAATCTAACAGGAAATAGTGTCCACAGTATCCCCGTGACGAAACTATTGTTTATCTTCATACATTTGCTTTTCTCAAAATACGTAACTTAATTTGAGTCATTCAACAAGTTCGCGTATATTTATCCTGTAAGTTGGCCACACAAGTGGGTCTCCGAGCTGAGTTTAACTCCGTGAAAGTGCACGGACCAGACTGGTCTCCAGTTTACACATGGTTTCCCGCTAACAGGCTAGTCCTGCCACATGTGGAGAAGGAAAACTGCTTTGGTTCACATTGTACCTCTTTTATGAGAACATGCTGAAGTCTAAGACGTTTGTGAAGAAGACGCGATCTGGCGGGGTGGTGAAGATAGTGCGGGAACATTATTTGAGAGATGATATTTGGTGTGGTAGTGAGGTATGCTCCGAGTGCAAACCAGAGACTACAGAACTGCAGAAAAATGCTTACATCGAGAGCAATCTGTGCGCCTACCCACACTATCTGATCCCTGACACCAATGTGGTCCTGCATCAGGTGAGCATACACAAATACACTCAAATAACGATATGTCATATAATATGTGGTTAGCTTCCACATACCCTAACATGTGTTGCCAAATACATACGTACTTGGTGAGATGGGACAGTATGACAATATGCAGTATAGTGTTAAAGCTAGGGTACCTAATTTTTATGTCTGTCCCAAAAGAATGCCTATTGTGAATGGTGACATTTTGTGAACAAATCATACCACAAGATTTAATCTTATATGAAAATGTTATATTTTTCATGCTTGTAAGAAGTGGCTCTATTTGATGCTTTAGGCTGACAGCTGCAAGAGAGTGGTGCTCTCTATTTTACGTTTAGTTACCACTATTAAAGTTGGAGATTAAAGTTACCACCATAATATACACAGAACTACTTTTATTTCTGAAAAAGCTGGTCTAAAGATGTGACAGAGGCCTAGATGCATGCATGTGTTGTACCAGTGCTCAAGAAACCACGGGCCAAAGACCTCAGCGACTTCAGGCCAGTGGCTCTAACATCCCACTGCATGAAGACACTGGAGAGACTGGTCCTGGGACATCTCCGCTCCACTCTGACCTCAGCGATGGACCCGCTGCAGTTTGCCTACCGGCCGGGCATTAGAGTTGAGGACGCCATCATCTCCCTCCTCCATCACTCGCTGTCCCACCTAGAGAAACCGGCTCCGCTGTGAGGATTCTGTTTTTTGACTTCTCCAGCGCCTTCAACACCATCCAGCCTAGGCTTCTCAGGGACAAGCTGGAGACAGCTGGAGTGGACTACGACCTGTCCGAGTGGATCCTGGACTACCTCACAGGCAGACCCCAGTTTGTGAGAACCAGGGACTTTGTGTCTGAGGTCCTGACCTGCAGTGTGTCCTCGCACAGTTCCTCTTCACCCTCTACACTGCGGACTTCAGACACAACACGGACGGTTGTGTTCTACAGAAGTTCTCCGACGACTCTGCCATCATCGGACTCAGCTCCGAGGACGATGACACAGAGTACAGAAGATTAATACAGGACTTTGTGGACTAGTGTCAGCGGAACCATCTCCTCATCAACGCGGGGAAGACCAAGGAGATGGTGGTGGATATCCGCAGACGTCACTCTGCCGCTCCAGCCCCAGTGAACTTCCAGGGAAAGGACATTGAGAGAATGGACTCCTACAAGTACCTGGGTGTTCATCTGAACCACAAACTGGACTGGACTCATATCACAGAAGCCCTCTTCAAGAAGGGCCAGAGCCGGCTCTACCTGCTGAGGAGGCTTTTGGAGTGCAGGAGCCACTCCTAAAGACCTTGTATGACTCTGTGGTGGCATCAGCCTCTTGTACGGTGTGGTCTGCTGGAGCGGCAGCATCACAGAGAGGGACAGGAAGAAGCTGGACAAGGTCATCAGGAAGTCCAGCTCAGTCCTGGGCTGTTCCCTGGACACGGTGCAGCAGGTGGGGGACAGGAGGGACCAAAGCAAACTAACATCTATGCTGGACCATGACTCTCACCCCCTGCAGGACAACTCTCTCTGCTCTGGAGAGCAGCTTCAGTGACAGACTTTTTCACCCTCAATGTGTGAAGGAGAGGTTCCGCAGGTCTTTCCTTCCTGCTGCTGTCAGACTGTACAACAAACAATAAGGACTGATGAACACTGCCAACTTGATTCCACGTGTCATTCTCGCATCGTTGCAATATCCTTATTTTATACCAGAATGTGCAATATACAGCTGCCAATATACAGTTGTAAACATCCATCCATCCATCCATTTTCTTCCCCTTAATCCATTTCTGGGTCGGGGGGGTGGCAGTCAGACCTGCACCCAGTACACAGAGCACCAGCCCCTCACTGATCCCCCTGCAGGTGGTGAGTCCACAGGAGCTGAGATCTTTCAGTGGGGGCTTCAGGCAAAGTGGGGTTAAGTGTCTTGCCCAAGGACACAACGACAGCAGTCATCAGTGGGAGTTGTGAAGTAGGTCTTATGGTGGGCTCAAACCCTCAACCTTCAGGCCCAAAGGCCAGTGCTCTACCAACTGAGCCACTGTCGCCCAGGACAGTTGTAAACATACTGCTGCTAATGTACAGTTGTAAACATATAACTAGACTTTACTTCCACTAGATTACACAGTACTTTATACTTGCCTCTTATTTTGTCAATGTTAAATTTTTACATCTATTATATTTTCAAGATAGAGATTTTATACTTATCATTGATGCTAGAGTTAGATTGTTTTTATTTGGATTAGTATAGCTATTGTTCACTTAACGTGTGCCGTGTGCTCCTCTTTCCTACTGTTCTATAACCTGTGATGCAACACCGAAATTTCCCCACTGTGGGACAAACAAAGGATCTCTTAATCTTAATCTTAATTTTATTGAGCGTTGGGATTCTATTATATCCTTTTCTGTGGTTTTAATGATGGATACATTTGCGTTAAATGATATATTGTGTATCTGTGTTTCACAAAAATAATAAGTTATTATAAATAATTTTGTAAAACCAATGCAACCTGACGTGTGATTCCCCATCCTTATCTTGCAGATTGATGTGTTGGAGGATCCTATAATCCGTAATGTCATCATACTACAGACTGTTCTACAAGAGGTCCGCCATCGCAGCGCTCCCATATACAAACGAGTGAAAGACATGCTGCATGAGAAAGAGAAGCATTTCTATACTTTTACTAATGAACATCACAGGTACTCACAACCTCGTGAATCAAGTCAGCTCCACCTAACATACTTCCATTCAACCCTGATTCCTGAATTACTTTTTCTAGGGAAACATTTATTGAGCGTGAGCCAGGGGAGAGTGCAAATGATCGAAATGACAGGGCGATTCGTGTAGCTGCGAAATGGTACAGTGAACACCTGAAGGCCTTCAAGTCTTCCTCCGATGGACTGGAGGTAGTGCTCCTAACAAATGACCAGGGGAACAAACAAAAGGCAGCAGACATAGGACTGGTAGTTTTTAAATGTAAGATGTTAGTTTTGTGAAACAATTCTTAATTCTTACTCGTGCATGTAACAATCAGTGTAACTTTGTGATTTATTTTGCAGGTGAGGAATATATCAAGAGTCTTATTGCAAACCCAGAGCTTGTTGATCGCTTGGCATTGACTGACAACGAAAAGGTAAACACTGTTCAGTAAATAATTTTACCGGTAGATTAGGACAATACTGGTGTTGGATATCGAGGCCGACCTTGTAAAAAACAGGTATTGGTTTGAGGTAAGACAGTCTACTGACTGATGTGAACCCAGGATGTCACGGAGCTTGTCATTTTTCTCAAACAAACAAGTAAATAACACAATTGGACTCATTTTGTAATAACTTAGTTGTGATTGTGGTTGAAAGAGAAACAATGCTATTTCCAGTCACTACAATGTTGTAGGTTCATATCAGGTATCGACAGATGTTGAAAACCTAAAGATTAACATTGGTATCAGACATTTAAAAAATATTGGATGAATGTATTTCTAGATGTGGCATTAAACATTTCTGTATAGTCTGCCGGCATTGTTTTAATGAAATATGAAATATCTTTGTTTCCCAAGAATGAGATCTCAAAGAAAGTGTTATTCCCAGAACACCTTCCACTGTCCAAGGTCCAAGCGGGCATCAAAGCTGGTACCTTTCTCCAAGGAACATATCGGGCCAGTCGAGACAATTACCTGGAGGGAAGTGTCTTTGTTCAAAAAGATGGTGAAGAAAGTACAGAGGTAATATCATTATATCATCTGTTTTTTATTATTATTAATTTCAACACGCCCTTAAGCAAATTTTATATTGAATATTTGCAATGTTTTTCAGTGGCCTTTTACACCTGTGCACTACGGTTGGAAACTAGCTATTACTGGGACATTAACAGAAATGTTGATTAATGAATCTGTACTGTCCCTAATAATATAATAACTAATAATAACTATAACTAATGATATAAATCCTTTATTTTTTGCAGGTTCTTATCCAGGGGCTTGCCAATCTGAACAGAGCAGTGCACCAAGATGTGGTCGCTGTGCAGATTTTAGCGCGGGACAAGTGGGTGGCTCCTTCTTCAGTAGTTCTTCAAGATGAGGGCGCGGCAAAGGATGATGCCGGTGACGAGGAGGATGAAGACAAGGCAGTATGTTTGCTAATCCATTTTCATAAGGCTGATTAAAAATCACTGGACCTCAAAGTTTGCTTTTTGACCAGTTGAAAACCACATTCGCTGAAACAGCCAAAAAGCCCACTGCACGGATCGTGGGGATCATCAAAAGAAGCTGGAGACCTTTTTGTGGAATGCTCAATGTTTCTCAGATAAAAGAGGTATTTCCAATTCTTTTGTCTGGCACTTTCTGTGGATAACATTCTTACTTTTCTCTGTAGTCAACGAGACATCTCTTTACTCCTGCCGATCGACGTATTCCACGTATTCGCATAGAGACGAGACAGTCATCCACACTCGCTGGACAGAGAATTATGGTGGCCATTGACGGCTGGCCCAAAGACTCCAGATATCCAAATGTAAGAAATTCCTGTTCTGCATTTTAATTAAATTCATTATATTGTTGTACTTGTCTGTTGCACACTGGGGACTTTGGCAAATGTATTCTAATGTGTTTTTTTCCGCAAATGGCAAATAAAATGAATCCATTCATCCATTTTCTACCCCTTAATCCATTTCTGGGTCAGGGGGGTGGCAGTCAGAGATGCCACCCAAGTCACATAGCACCAGCCCCTCACTGACCCTCTGCTGGTGGTGAGTCCACAGGAGGACGGCTGCTCTGTAAGTGTGAGCATAGCCTTGATCTTTCAGTGGGGGCTTTGGGCATTGTGGGGTTAAGTGTCTTGTCCAAGGACACAACGACAGCAGACATCAGTGGGAGTTGGTGGAGAAGGTGTCGGGGTGGGAATTGAACCCACGACCTTCAGGCCTAAAGGCCAATGCTCTACCAACTGAGCTTCTGTCGCCCCTTATAAAATGAATCTGAATCTAAAAAAACAAATGGACCGTGAGAGTTTGATTGTTTTGGTTTCAGGGTCACTTTGTGCGCAGCCTGGGTGGTGCAGGGGAAAAGGAAACGGAGCAAGAAGTGCTGCTCCTCGAACATGACGTCCCTCACCAGGCATTCTCTCAAACTGTGCTTAGTTTTCTTCCCAAGATGCCGTGGGTCATCACACCAGAGGAAAGTGCAAGCTCTTCCTATTGGGCTGTTGTGGTGGTTTCTCGGCTGATAATCGTTTCCTTCGACGCTGATATTTCAGGACGAAGGAAAGAGAGAGGATCTTCGACAGCTGATCGTGTGCAGTGTGGATCCTCCTGGATGCACGGACATCGATGATGCTCTTCACTGCAGAGAACTGGACAATGGAAACTTGGAGGTGTCATAAACTTTATTAACACTCAGACTGTCATAAATCTGAAAGAACTCCCAAAACAGTTGATGAAATTCTGAAGAAAAAAATAATTGTTTGTTTTTTACCACTTACAATGAAAGCAGTTCATATGGTTTTTATCTTAAATACATGCTAAAGCGGGTTAATCTAACTGAAAAACAACAAAACGAAATTCTGACTGATGCAAATAAACCGTGCATTGCTATGGTTACTATGGATTCCTCGTAGTTATGACCACATACATACATAAGCGGAGTCATTACACTTGCAAAACAAAAAAGCCGTCAAATTGACTGCTCTTGGAGTGTGTTAACATTATTATTTCCCCCGGATGAGACTTCACTCAAAAAAATATTGATCAGTCGGTGAAACTTTCTTCCGTTTAGGTCGGTGTCCATATTGCAGACGTCAGCCACTTCATCAGACCAGGAAACGCTCTCGATCAAGAAGCAGCCAACAGAGGAACCACTGTCTACCTCTGTGGAAAGGTTGGAGCTTGATGTCGCAGTGTGTGAATGAAAAAAAAAAAACAGTTTGACATTTATCACGTCTGTTTTTTCCAACAGAGAATAGATATGGTTCCTGAGTTACTGAGCTCCAATCTGTGTTCCTTGCGCTCCAATGTTGAGAGGTAGGACATTGACCAAACTGCCTATTCCATCACATGTCTCAAAACTAACGTGCTGTTTTGTAGGTTGGCCTTTTCCTGCATATGGGAAATGAACCACAACGCCGAAATAGTGAAGACACGCTTCACAAAAAGTATAATTAACTCCAAGGTGAAGTTTGTTATACCCATACCCTCATGCTTCCAACATGTACAGATATATACGCACAACAATATATTTCTTTTATTTGCTTCTTTATTTGTGCTAAAGTCAGATATGTTATACTTAAAGGTGCAGTAAGCGATTTTGTTAGCTTAGCCGTAGCACTAATTCGAAACCACCACCCCCCCTCCCCTCGCCTCTCCACTTAACCAAACATACAGCATTTTCTTTTCTTTGTCACAGCAGGGAGAGTGGGTGGCAAACATGAAATTGGCATTATCTGTTCAGTCTTTTTAGGTTTTAGAAAATCCGATAACTCAAGTGCACGAGAAACAGGAAGAGGGTGAAGCGGGTAAACGCATCCCATTGGTTTATATTTATCGGTCCGCTCCAAAATATTTTGTATTAATTTTTGGAGACTAAAGGCATCTGGTCAATTCCATTATTCCACTATCTGAAAACACGTGATAACTGGACTACTTTTAGGGTTTTCGTTTTCCCACAATATAAAAAAAAGGCATCTTTAAAAAATCACTGACTGCATCTTTAGTTCTGCTAAAGTTGGAGATTTTAGACTTGCTTCTTTATTTTATTAAAGTGAGACATTTGATTTCAGTAGAGTTATTGTTCACTTATCTTGTCCTATGTGCTCCTCATTCCTACTGTTCTGTACCGGTAATGCAACACTGTGGGACAAATAAAGGAGGTCTTAATCTTAATGATATGTACATGGCTTTCACTGCTGTCCTCCTCATGTGGAATAGGCCTCTCTGACGTACGCAGAAGCCCAGATGAGGATCGATGATTCTACTATGAATGATGACATAACAATAAGTCTGCGCGGCCTCAACAAACTCGCTAAGATTTTGAAGAGACAAAGAATACAGAATGGGTAAATGATTGTATTTTCTCTTCTGCCGTCTCCACTCCCCTAAACGATTGAATGATCTTGATGAGCGAAGGCTGGTTCTGCTCCTGACCCGTAACTACATATGACTCATGTTTTTCTTTTGCTTCAGGGCCCTCACTCTGTCATCATTGGAGGTCCGTTTCCACATAGACAGCGAAACCCACGACCCGATCGATCTTCAGACTAAAGAACTAATGTGAGTGTTTTTGGTTTATTATTATTCAGCCTTACGAATCTGTTTGTAACCACGTGTTGTTCATATTCTCCTCAGGGAAACCAACTCCATGGTAGAGGAATTCATGTTGTTGGCTAATATTTCAGTTGCCCAAAAGATCTATGACGAGTTTCCCGAGTGTGCCTTGCTGAGGAAACATCCAGCCCCTCCGCCTTCAAACTACGACATTCTCATAAAGGCTGCAAAGTCAAAGGTACCTGTAATGTTTTCTCTTGTTTGTGTTGGGAGCACTGAAAGTAAATGTAAAATAGCTGTTTTGATATTTTCCCATCCGCAGAATGTAGAGATCCACACAGATTCGGCGAAAGCATTGGCTGACTCCCTGGACGTCGCCCGAGTCGACAACTTCCCATACTTTAACACATTGTTGCGAATTTTGGCGACCAGGTGCATGATGCAGGCAGTGTACTTTTGTTCTGGCATGGACAGCGACTTCCACCACTACGGTCTGGCTTCTCCAATCTACACACACTTTACGTCTCCCATCAGAAGGTAACGCATACACTTTTCATATATTGTTTGATTATTTGCTGATCGCATGTTCTCCACAAACTCAGGTACTCTGATATCATCGTACATCGCCTTCTGGCTGTGGCTATCGGAGCAGACGCCACCTATTCAGATTTAATGGACAAACACAAGCAGTCGGCTCTTTGCAACAACCTCAACTACAGACACAAAATGGCTCAATATGCTCAGAGGGCCTCCGTGGCGTTCCACACACAGGTAACGATCATCTGGCTTCTTTAGAAAACCCCAATGTCCTGATGTTAAATTATTCAAATCTAGAATGTTTTTATTAAAAGCTCAATTTCTTTTTCAGCTCTTCTTCAAAAGTCGAGGTGTTTTAAATGAGGAGGGCTTTGTTCTATTTGTGAGGAAGAATGCAATCATAGTACTCATCCCAAAGTTTGGATTGGAGGGAACGGTTTTCTTTGATAGCAAAGATAAAGCTGGTCCAAAGCTAATCTATGATGAAGAGGTACAGATATTGTAATGAATGTTCTTTCAAATGAAGTAGTAATAATAAAGTAGGATTGTTTCTCCAGGGTCCTGTCCTGACAGTGGAGCAGCATACATTTCACATATTTGATAAGGTGAAGGTCACGATCAGCCTGGATGCTTCTAATATCCAGCATCAGAAGATTCGAATGGCTCTGTTGGATCCCGTGGTATGTTAAAAGGAAAATGTAAACACTTTTGATCAAATTTGATTATGACCATTTTTCTACTTTCCCAGATTCCAGGAGTGAGTGTTCCAGCTGAAAACCCTGAGCCACCATCCAAGAAATCAAAAATTGATCGCTAGTTAAATGACATGCTTGTATTTTTATGTGATGAGTTGTTATTTCCATCTTTTAAAGAGCTTTCCTTATTGCTTCATTTGTTGCTCATTATTGAAATGAAAAAGTATGGCTAGTTCTATTTTTATGCAGCTAAAGGCCTTTTAAATCTCTTGGGAAGAACTTTTTCCCCATCAATACTGAAATTTACTTTCGATGTAGGGTGCATAACTGCTTAACTGAAATAGAAACCACTAACATTTGTAAGAGTGGTTTTAATTCTTAGACATTCCACAGTAAAGTACAAATGTTTAACTTGGTTGAATCAGCATTTTAAGAGAGTGGCATCATTTCACAGAAAAGCAAAAAGGGAGACAAGCATTTTACACAACCTTGTAACAAGTCATTTAAAAGTCATAAAACATGCCTTTGAGATTTCAGCTCAAAGGAAATGCCACAACAAAATTAAATATTCAAGTGTTAAAACCTTATACAGTAGAACTCTGTAAACAAATATTTCATCACATTTTACAAAACGGGTCTAGTTTCACCCTTGATTGTTTCCAAAACAAAAACATCTTGAGCTTCCATTAGAGATTAGTTTACAAAAAACACTCAATATGTGTAAAACATCTGTAAAAAAACAGAAAACCGTCAAGATTACGGAAAAGGGTGAGCCCATCTCAGACCTGCAGAAGTTACCTTTGGTTTAGTGGGTCTTGTGATTTGGAAGACCTCTTCTGAATTTGAAGTGAAAGACTCTTTGCTGTTGAACTCTGATCCCAGCCCGTCTATGAGGCTCCCAGTGCCAGTTGAAATAGTGTTGTAACCACTATCCACCTACAATGGAAAAAGATTTTACTACAGCCGATTCTGGCACTTCATTTGATCTATAAAAGCAAAACTTTGAAGTATTTACAGAAGCATGTTCATCACAAACCTGCATACTGGACTCGTAGCGTATGCTGCTTCCCTCAGTCAACATGGACATGAACATGTGTGAAGCCTCTCCTGCAGACACGTTTCCCATATGAGAGCTGGTGAGTCTCGCACCAGGCCCTTCAGATTCATGGTCCTCATCCTTATTTCTCCCATCTTCTTCCATTTCCAAAGGCTTTAAACCATGGTCTGTAATGTGGGCAATGTCTGTAGCATTCTGTGGACACACTGGATCCAAGTCCATTGAGGGTAGTGGTTGGAGGTCTTCAAGATCCTGGTCGGCCTGGAGCCTTGGGTTCAGAATAGGAGATATTGGAGGAGGTGAGGCCCAGAACCCAACTCTATTTCTTAGTTTTGATCTGGAATAGTTTTTGAGTTCATGGTAGTTGAGTTGATGTGGGGAGCAGCTACGAATAGGGGAACATCCCTCGACAAATGGGCTTTCGATGCATGGAGTGACATCGCCATCCTGAGGAACATTTAGTGGAGTCACAGTTGCTGGGGGTTTTCTTTCTGTAACAAGAAGTCAAGAAAACACTGGCTTAACAAAATAAAGCACATCTTACTGGCTGATCAAAATGAAGGAAAAAATGATTACTTGATGCAATGGGTGTGACAGACGCATGTGCAAAGATGGGGGAAATGATGGGTGAGGCAAGGCCAGCTGGAGAGGATCTGTCGGGTAAAACTGGACTATTCATACTACCAAGACTGCAGTCCCGGAAACGAGCATTCTGGATTGGGCTAGATGAAAACTGACCCTATTAAAAAAAATAAAAAAAAAAAATAAAAAAATCAATAAAACATTTAGAGATTAAACCAACAACACAAAAGGTTTAATATCACCAAAGCTTTTTACCGTAGAGGGAGTTGCAGCCGCAATACCACAAGACAGAGGAGAAGAGAAAATGGAAGAAGGGGTTTCTCTATCAGCGGCATGCACGTTCTCTGCTGCCCCTTCTGTGCCATCTGCTTGTAACCCGGCTCTAACTGGACTTGGAGGCGTAGAGCCGTCGGAGCCACTGCCTTGCCCATCAAGGAAAAGTTTTCGTCTGAGAGATGATGAACTCAGACTCTCCTGTACAGTATCACATGGCTCTTCGTATCTGTAGTATTCACCTGAGGCACAACAAGCAAAAAGTGAAGACACAAATTGGAAATTGCTGAGACAACTTTGTCAGATATCTCACCAAGTACTTTTTCCAAGTCAAAGGCCAATGGCAAAGAGAGTGTCGTCTGGCAACCAACTAAGGAAGTAAAAACAAAAAGTAAGTAGATGACAAAATACAATGAAAACTCCACAAAAACAACATTGACCTGATATCTTCTCTTTGTTTTCAGCAATTAATGGAGACAGAGTACCTTGAAACACAAGCAATGTATTACACATATTCCATGAACACATTACCTATAAATAAAAACAATGGACAAATTGAAACATACTTTTCTTGCAGAATGCACCAACTTTACGAGATTCTGGGGCAGCCCAGGGAGAGGGAACGATGGATCCTTTGGTAAAAAACTTAAGAGGATAGATGCAATTTCAATGCAAACAAATGCTTTTCAATCATGAGAATGTGAAATTATAAAACATACGTGGTCAATGGCGTTTTGGCACTTTTGCTCAATATCAGAATCAGTCCTAGAATGGGAAATGATCCACACAGATTTCAGATTGAGATTTCAGGTTTACACAGAGTTTCTTATTGTGGTATATATACCTTGTTTGGCTCAGGTAGAAAGATTGTCGCTGAATTTCCTCCTGGTCTATATGAACGGGAAAGAGACTAGCCATTTCTTCAATAGACCATGTGAACTTAGGAGGTGTCTAGAAAGAATTACCATCGATTACCATTACCTAAACAAAAACAATTAAAGAGGACACAGTTACATGTGTTAATACTTACAGCTTTACAAGTCTTAGATGAAAACACAGACGGACTGGGAACAAGAGATTCTCGAAGATGATGGTAATCATTAGGACTTTCAAAAGGGTTTCTTATTGAAGGTCTTCCCGGGGCTTCTGGTGTGATATGTAACACTGCATCAGCATGGTCCCCCATCTCCGCTAAGGAAAGAGGAAATCATAATATCAATCCAAATGAAGAGGAATGGTTTGAGCTTCCGTGTTTGGTTATCATGAGGACTTGATTGCTTGACGACAGAATGTGAAGTTAGCAATGGTTCCAAAAGTACGTTGTGCCAGCTACAATCAGCAAAGCAACCACCCAAAGTGTACATGTTGACAATAGTAATGAGCGTTGGTGTATTTAGGAGAGTTTATACTCACTTTAGTCCGGTGTGAGGCTCAATATTTACAGTCTATGGTCCGGACAGTGGTCAGGGAGTTCTGCAGCAGAAATACAAACGAAAGATTCAATTTGACCAAGGTGCATATCAACCAATCAAATTCAAGCAGGAAACACGTGTTAGCCAATCATCGCAGACGCACGGCGCATGCCTAGTGTGTATTCGGCAGCTAAAGGTTTGCTATAATATCATACATGGATTTATGCTAATATTATATAATACTGTTGTTTGTTTAGAGTACGTTACTTTTATGGACAATGCCATACAGTCGTATCGTTACCCGTAGGTTAGCTCTAATACTAACAATCACATATCAGGGTTGGGAAAACTGCTAACTTGATGCTAAAGCTCCTGAGGCAAATAAATAGTCTACTCTATATTCTTATTTTTTCACTTGTGTTACAGCCCTTTAGCTGGAGAGAGAGCTAACCCCATAGCCTCTGCAATGGCAAGTGCAGCCAACGCCAACATCAACGCAGCGCGAGAGACCATGGATGGTGAGCCACTTTGTAAATACAGTAGTTATGTATTTTATTATAGGTTAAAGAAACCGTTTGTTAAGAATACATGAATTACAAAACATCTTTTTATTGTCATTGAGTCCTGCATTCCATGTTATGCACACGCTGCTCCTTTAGCTCTCATTATTAATCACATATAAAAGGTGCAGGGAACTTGGGTTAGGTTAGGCTTTACAGTGCCTTGCGAAAGTATTCGGCCCCCTTGAACCTTTCAACATTTCGCCACATTTCAGGCTTCAAACAAAGATATAAAAATTATTTTTTTTGTCAAGAATCAACAATAAGTGGGACACAATCGTGAAGTGGAACGAAATTTATTGGATGATTTAAACTTTTTTAACAAATAAAAAACTGAAAAGTGGGGCGTGCAATATTATTCGGCCCCGTTGCGCTAATACTTTGTAGCGCCACCTTTTGCTGCAATTACAGCTGCAAGTCGCTTGGGGTATGTCTATGGATATCTTTGAGAAATGGCTTTCGCCATAAAGGCCAGATTTGTGCAGTGCACGACTGATTGTTGTCCTATGGACAGACTCTCCCACCTCAGCTGTAGTTATCTGCAGTTCATCCAGAGTGATCATGGGCCTCTTGGCTGCATCTCTGATCAGTCTTCTCCTTGTTTGAGATGAAAGTTTGGAGGGACGGCCGGGTCTTGGTAGATTTGCAGCGGTCTGATACTCCTTCCATTTAAATATAATTGCTTTCACGGTGCTCCTTGAGATGTTTAAAGCTTGGGAAATCTTTTTGTATCCAAATCCGGCTTTAAACTTCTCCACAACAGTATCTCGGACCTGCCTGGTGTGTTCCTTTGTCTTCATGGTTCTCTCTGCGCTTTAAACAGAACCCTGAGACTATCAAAGAGCAGGTGCATTTATACGGAGACTTGATTACACACAGGTGCATTCTATTTATCATCATCAGTCATTTAGGACAACATTGGATCATTCAAAGATCCTCACTGAACTTCTCGAGTGAGTTTGCTAGCCTGGCTCTGCCAGACCCTTGTAGTTCCGCCATGCTCCACCAGAGGCGTTTGGCTGAACCACATGTGTGAAGTGCAGCGAACTACATGGGTCTGGCGAGTGTCAGGCTATGAGTTTGCTGCACTGAAAGTAAAGGGGCCGAATAATATTGCACGCCCCACTTTTCAGTTTTTTATTTGTTAAAAAAGTTTAAATTATCCAATAAATTTCGTTCCACTTCACGATTATGTCCCACTTGTTGTTGATTCATGACAAAATATTTTTTTTAAATATCTTTGTGTTTGAAGCCTGAAATATGGCGAAATGTTGAAAGGAATACTTTCGCAAAGCACGTTAACTCGCTGTATTTTCACAAAAACTGGCAACCCAATTGTGAGACTCATGTGAAGCCCATTCTGCTTTCTGACCAGATAATCAGCTTGAGAAATTACATAAACAAAGTATCCATGTAGTCTGTAAAATAAAGAATACAATTACAAATAATACACTACATAGCCTATCGTGACATGCTTAAATGGAATTTCTAAATATTTATTCATGGTGAAAATCAGCAATATATTTGTCTAATTACATGTTGAACATGTTCTAACTCTTGTCATTATACTGTTTATTACTTTGTGGCTAAAATTTGTGTTAAATTATTTTCAGTGCTACTGGAGATATCGAGGTTGCTAAACACGGGTTTGGACATGGAGTCTCTTTCCATATGTGTTCGTCTCTGTGAACAGGGTATTAATCCTGAAGCACTCTCCTCTGTGATCAAAGAACTGCGTAAAGCTTCAGAGTCCCTAAAGGTAAATAATACTTATTATAATTATAATAATACTTTATGGCTGTATTCAGAACTTCAATCTGTCTTCTTCCCCTTAATCCATTTCTGGGTCGGGGTGGCAGTCAAAGCTGAACCCAATTCACTGAGTACAGGACAGTCCACAGGAGGATGGCTGCTCTGTCAGTGACGATACAGCCTTGATTTTTAAGCGGGGGCTTCAGGCAATGTGGGGTTAAGTGTCTTGCCCAAGGACACAACGACAGCAGACATCGGTGGGGAAGGTTCCGTGGTGGGCTTGAACCCACAACCCTCAGGCTTGTAACCAGTGCTACTGTCGCCCCTATTCAGAACTTTGACAATTGTAATTTGTCTTTGCATGTTTGTTAACTCTTCATTAATCATACACAGATGTAAATGTCGCTGTTTAGATATTTGGTGTCCCGTTCCCAAAAGGCTGGTGGTCTGTGCCAGTGCAAATATCATTTGTCACACTTTTCAATGGTGTGATGGACTGGCTATATAAAGGCCTACACATCCACAATAGATGAAAGACAATACACAACTCAAATATAGCTTAATAATGTATTAATGATAATGATGTGATTTCCTGTGTTTTAGACTTCTGAAAATTGCACAAGCTGAAGAAAAGAAGAGTTGACATTTGGCACCTACGTTTTTAAAGATGGCCCCTAATCATGTTGATTTTCTACTACAACGTGCACACATTTCCCCCAAGAATTTACACAGGCAACAAAAAGTGTTTGTGTTAAATATAGAAGATATAAGCCTGTGTTGCATGTGCCTCAAATATGTCAGCCTGTTCCCCTGGGAATAATAATGGTCTGGAGCCCTCAGGCTGTTGCATTGTTTTCTGCTAGTTAATTTTATATTTGAAAGTTGTTAACTATGTTTAATGTTACTTTGGTTTACAATTGTATTAAAATGGTGGATATCCACAAGATGGTGCTGTTTCCTTTTTTTTCATAGCTTCCTCAGTCTGATTGTTCATGGACGTAGACTCTGTTTTGATTAGTGATTTTTAAACCTGGATATTGGGCTATAGCAATGCTGAGGTTTTTAACTATTTGTACAGTAGTGCCCTTTTTAAGAAAATAGAGATTTCATAGTCTGTTAAAAAAAGGATTTAAATTATTATATAATAAATCTGTTGGACTCTGACTGCACCCTGAACCTAATGTCTGGGTTAAACAGCATTTGGGACCAATCTTCTACATATACTCTTGTTTGATGGAGCTAAAATTTGTAATCATTAAAATGTTCATACTTCCTAATTGTGGTATTTAATGCTGCCCTTAAAAAATGCAATTGCAATAATTCTGCAGACTGTTTCAGTGAACAGACTAAGGAAGATATATGAGGGTTTTTTTTACAGTCATGCAAACTTGCCTTCCACTTTGCAGGCCCTGCAATTGTTTTGATTTTAAACGGTTTTGGAAATGTGAGATTTTCATCTCATTGTGTCCCATTGACGCACAAATACGTCAAAGCAAATAGTAACGTCGTGTGCCATTGACGCATTAATAAAATTGCCTTTTTTGCTATTTTCACGTTCCCAGATGTCTATTGTATCTAATATGTATGGGGATGACTTGAGACCATATTTTATCGAGCCAGCAGGTGGCAGCATTGCTCTCTGAATGGTTTGAAAACATGTAGGTGCACATGTTGTGCCTCTTTTTTTCTCAACTTTCTGGTGATTTCTGGTGATTTCAGTAAAACTTCCCTCTACTCGACGGAGGATTACAGGGGAACGAAAAAAGCTATAAACAAAATTCTTTTTGCTGAGGAAAGTACACAGTCCATTCTTTTAGAATCTGGTGTCGGATTTCAGATAGTCATAGTACACAATATTCTGTGGGTCTTGAAAAATCTGTAAAAATCATCAGAAATGGCTGGCACTGTGGGAGTACCTGTTCTGAAATAGGCTGGCATTCAATGAGTTAAAATGTCATATCTACAAAAAATATGGTTATGTGTTATTACTGTTTAATGCAATGCACCATTGCCTGCGGTTAGTGGCACTAATATAAGCGTCAACATTTGTTAAAATTTTATTCAGAAAAATAGGTAGAAGAGGAATGCTTCCTGGACCTCAATTACAGTAACTGAAGTCTGTAGATGAGATGCTCTTTGGTGGGGGATTGTCAATGTATCAAAATACAAATAACCAAGACACTCATTAGTTATAGCCAACAGGCCTTTATCAGGGGACAAAAAACATTACAATGTACTTGCCCAAACCTGGAGCTAGCCTGTTTAACTCTAGCAGCAAATGAACAGCTGTAAGTCACAGCATCTAAAACTGGCCACTCTGGGATCCTTTATGACCTTTAACAGTAACCAGTGCAGTGGTCACCGCCATGCAGCACTCTGGAGATGTAGATGCTCGGCTTGGTCAGCCCACAGGAGCTGACCAGACCGGTGAGAGAAACCGCTCTGGAAACCCACCCATGGGGAAAACGTTACTGTGGGAGACACAGAAAGACCCGAGCAGGCGAGGAAATTGAACCCGCGGCCTTCTTGCTACCCACTCAGCCTCCATCATTATAGCACGACTTCAGGTCATGATTATTACACACTTTGGGAACATTTTGGCTATTTAATTCTTTTTGAACTGGTTACTAGATCTCAAAAAGTAACATTTTATTACTTTTTGAGAACTTACTTGACTTTGTCTTACCAGTTTTTCCCAGTTTTCCCACTTGTAATCAGGGTTTGGACGGGCAATTGATATTCACTTCTTCAAAATGTTGGATAAGAGGGTGAATTCAAATGTACTACTATATGTGTATGGTTGTGATATCAACCTGCTCAGGGACTACAGTAGCAGTAGCTATAGCCTGGTATATACAGTACCATCCCTCCTTTTGGATACTGTTCATTGTACACTGTCCCTGTTAAAAAATAAAAGTTATACCACCCCATAAACAATAATTAGGACAGTATATTAGATTAGTTTGTCTTAAAATGTCATAATTCTGTATACATTAAAATGTATCTCTTTCATATATATCATTCATTTATATCTTTACAACACAACAATACCCCCAAGGCTTTCCTGCCCCAGCACAGACTTTCCCCCTCTTCATTTCATTGCACATTTTGCCATATTTTACTTTTTCCTATATTGCAAACTTGCCAAAAAATCTATGCCTTTGATCAACCAGCAATGGAGCCCGTTCATCACAAATCCAACCACACAGAACATTGTTTTGTTTCTCCACTGTCTGTAAAATAGCTCTATTCATCTTGTAGACGAGGCAAACTGCTGAGAGCACAGAACATCCCTCCACAGGCTTTTGCTCGGGCCTGAAACGACCTCTCATCGAGTACCACGGCCTGTCAGTGTTTGTGTGCCTGCTCCCCTCTGTGTGTAGGTTTAAGCCAGTAGAGATGTCTGCAAATGAGTAGCCCCTAAGCCCTTTACCAACACCTCGCCCTCAGAGGACGAGAAGCCCAACGTGAGCGGAGGGTGTGTGTGTAAGCACTTCTGTCTTCTTCTGCTTTGTCTCAACATCTTGACTGACAGCCTTAGTCTAAATCTCTGTTCTGCTCCTTTTGATCTACTAACACACCATCTTTCTTTTCCTCAACACCAGCATCGTGTTCTCCAACTATGAGGAAATCTCATAAACTCACTTTGGTCGAGGGCCAGATTTTAAAACATAAGAGCTGGTTAGGGCCAAAAGTAAAAAAGTGCTTTAAAATTTTCTTTTTCTGACAAATTCATTTCAATTCACATACATTTTTAAATTATTTTCTGGTAGGGCTGGATTCAACCATAACCGGGACAAATATCAAGAAGAGATGTAATTGAAGACTCATATACAAAAATAAATATTAACCTAACTTCTAATTAGTCTAATTTTAGAACAGATTAAATGATATGTTTTCTTTTCCTGAAAGAATAAGCTAAAACATGCTGTAGTATCCCATTACCATCAATGCTGCAAGTTACTGTAATAATGATAATTGAAAATCATTTCAGGGGCCATTCAAAATTGTCTTGCGGGCCGAATTTGGTTCACAGGCCAGAGTTTGACCTGCCTACTCTACTTGATAGCCTTTAAAACAGTAGCCACTCTGGGCGCTACGCGGGGGGTGAGCTGACACCATGATATAGAAAGACCCACATGGAGAATCTTTTTCTGTTACAAAGAAAACAAGAGTTATGCATGGCTTGATTGGCTACTGTGGGCGTGGGACGTATTGCTCTGTTTGATGTGTTTGAAGGGTTTCTCCTGATCTTAGCCTGTTACTTTGATCTCTGTTAAACAAAATATTCCCAAATCCCATAGTCCTGACTGAGAGATTAGCGTCCACATATGCATAAACATCTAAGAGTGCTCAACTAGGGCACTGGTCAGGTCACATGACCATATCAACTCCAGGAGTACATCCTCACATCAAACTTCTAAAGGTGTTTGTGTTTGTACGTCTGATAATTATCCGGCCTCTGGATTATTTTTCTGATAAATGAGGGCATTCTCATTTAAAAGTGAAAGGATCTTGTTTTTGCAGGTGTAAGGAATGCACTTTACTAAAATAATTAGACTGATTAGTGGACACAAGTGTATTCAAAGGCGGTAACCTAATTATGGGCACAGTACATAACCGTGTGCCTCAGGCTCAGCACAGGGCAGTGTGAATAAGTACACTTTTGTTTTCATATTTCTAACATTGTGGAGTGTTCTGGAGGCCTCTGAAGCATCAGGCTTCGCTGGCTCCACTTGCCCTGAGACGAGTTACATGACCTTGTTAGAGTTTACAGCAATATTGCACCCATGATTAAATACAGACCACACTTCTACACTGTAAGATTATACTATTTAGGTACCAATTAAATTCATAGCAAGGAAATTGGATCGTAAACGCTTTAAAGGATCGTTAACAATCATTAGACGAGATAATGGCATGGCAATCAAAAAAAGTCTTCAAAGTCTTAGTGACTTTGTTGGTTTTGGATATTTTCCAAACTGATTAATGTGGAATTGATTGATTTACAGTTGTAATTAGCCTTCTTCTGCATGCATAATAATGACGTATATGGAAAGTATTAATTGGTTTCATTAACAAAAGCAGTTAATTGAATAACAATTAACAAAGTTGTTGATGGCATCGACCGAGCGTGTGCTGCTCCCTTGTGTTTTCTCCAGGATGATAATGAAGGTACCTTTTATCAGATTGGAATTGTGTGTGTTGAGCTATGTAATGACTAATATGATATTGTGCTTATTAGTTTATTTGAGTGGCTTACTGAGGCGTTAAGTTGGTGTTCAACACAAAATATTTAACAGGTACAGACCATATGCTGCCTTAATCAGACACTGAAATCGAATTTGGTTGTTAAATTGTCTTCTAATAAAAGCAGGTAGTAAAACAACTCACACTAATTCAATCTCGAATGGGGTTGTGAAAGTGAACAGCTGTTCGTTTTTGTTGAGTTCTTATACATACTGTTCTTGTTCTCCCTTTAAATGGCAATAGCCTGTTTGTTACTCAACTTTTCTTAAAGAAGAAAATAGAGATAGAGGGTGGACTAGCTGTCCACTCTCCTTAAAAGAAGACAATGCCAGGCATATTGCAGTGACAGCTTGTATTGTGTGTATGTAAGAGAAAGG